AAAAATTGATTGAGAGGATTTTCGTTTTTACAAGATAATGAATCCTTGACAAGTAAAGATAGCACCTTCAGAGCACCTATGCAATAATCGTTATCTTATCTGTGCAAATCTTATTTGTTTATTGTACCGCTAATTGGTTATCGCAAATCCAAATTTAGAGGCTTACACTCAATTCCGAATCTATCGATTTTCTTATCAGAATGATATCATTCTCTCAGCAAATGACGGCAGCAAATTATAACGGCATATTTTTCAAATATTTGTTTCAAACTATATTGCCTTTTTCACAAATTTTTTTACCATCGTGAATGGCAATAAGACTGAGAAAATATGTAATTTAAAGCATTTTTCGTAATTGAAAAGGAATTTAATTTAACATTCTCTTTTGTAATAAAAAAATATAAAAAAGAGTAATATCGATTGTATAGCAATCGCTTTGCGTGAAAGCGACAGAAAGAGAGAGACAAAAAATCATTGTTTGATTTCTGCACAGAAATTTTTGTCAACAGTGCGACAATAATGCAGACGTATTGTTATTTGAATGTTTAATTAAAACGTGATATTTATTGAAAACCGACTATTTCAATCGAAATTTTGGGAAAAAATAAAATAAAACGCAAATCATGTCGATATTGCAACTACACAAATTGTATAGTGAGTTCTTGGTTGTAACCGGGTAACGAACGCTCTCGCGTTTTACTTTCACTTTGTGAAAGAGAGTTAAAGAGGTCTATACTCTGCTTTGTTGGCTCTTTGAGTGTTTGAACAATTTCAACAATTTGAAAGTTTTGTAGTCTATATTTAGCGAATGGGAATATGCGAACACATGAATAATTCTGAATATATGAAATACTATGTGAAAAACTCCCCAATGTATAAGAGAAGTGAAACTTTCTTCACTTCAACGCAATCTTTATGAAGCTTCAAAAATGCATATAAAATAAAGGAGCCAATAAATGGTCGTAAAATGTTATTTTTACTGCAAACGGCAAATGAAGTGCAATGGACGTTGGCACGTTCACGAGTAGATTTTATGCATATTCAGCTCAACATTTTGCAAATTCGGTCATAAAAAACGGAAAACAAATTTACAATAACAAAAGGAACAATTAAGAAATCCAAAAATAAAAGAAGCTCAAACAAAAAAAGAAACCTGAGTAAATAAAACATTAAATAAACACATTCCACAGACGACAGAACAATGATCGCTTCAAGTTTTACGAACAAAGTACATACAAGCATATAATGAGCATTTGCTGCCGTCGGTACGACATGCTCATTTCACATTCATTGCAAATACAAAAGCAAACTTATACACACAAATAGGTATATATTGTGGTAGCGTCATCCATGTTGAATAAAATGTTATATATATACTATATATGTATATTGCATGTGAAAAATGTATTTTTATTTTACTGTTTTGAGTACATCTAACCCACACGATACATGTGTATGAGTTGTAAAAAAAAAGTTCGTATGTTTGTGCAAAAAAAAAATAGTCATGTCACCAGGATCTCATTGTCGAATGTGCAATTGAAATAGTTTCAAAGCCGGCTTGTTGATTCTATTTTTATATGACCTCAAAAAAGTTATTACTCAATAGCATCGTGGTCAAGACACATTTTGTACAAAATCATCTTACCTGCTTTTCAGCGCTATCGCAATCAGGATTTTCTTCAGCCGCAATCGATACGATAATATGTGCGGACTTATTATTCTCGGCAATGGTTTCAGTTGCATTATCGACAATTCCGTTGGCCGCATCGAGCGTTTCTTGCTTGACCGCACCTAACGGTAAATATTCACTTTTCTCCATATTTTCTGTACTTTCAAAATCCATTTTTCCAATTGGCCTGTTGTTGCGCTTTGAAATATTTTAATTATCACAATTCCGAATATCTGGTAAGGTAAGAGGATCACTGAATTCCAACCACTAGCATTTTCTTTTTCATTTTGCAATTTCTTTCATTTCATATGCGTGTAGAAATTCAGACACTTAATTCACTTGAAAATCATTCGAAATATATACTTTCGAATTTTATCTCTCTGTGTTGTACGCATTTATTTTTCACTTCTCTCTTTTTTTTCTCTCGAAATGCAAAGGTTATCTCACACAAAAACTTTCACGATTTTAACGATTTTAAATGTCGATTCGATATTTGCGTACTTTTTTTCATTATTCACAGATAAATATTTGTAGTATTTTGTTTAAATAAAATTGACGCCAAAAAACGACGATTCCATTTGTAGCTTGCTTACGGTTTGGCAATCAGATCGAAAAGTTCAACACTGAAGAATGTTTCACAGTAATTCGACGAGATATGTAAAATGCGTCAAAAAAAATTCCATCAAGGAAATTATATACATAAAATAGAACGGCAATTATAATATTTAAATCTCTTCACAAATCAATTTCATTTAAAAAATGCCGAACACGCAGTTTTATATTCCACTAAAACTAGTTTCGACGAAGGAGAAAAGAAAAAGTCAAAATAGGCAGATGTATAAACTTTTCTTAATTCTTTATCGTGGTCGAATACGATATAACTCTTCACTTTCTCGTTTCGTGTTGAACTAAACTGTGTGTTCATACAGACCTGCATTAACCATAGCGCGTCAACTACATTTTTGTGGCGAAGAAAGAGACAGAAGTATGACGCAAGTGTGTATGACGGCATTTGCTTGAGCAAATACTAAATAGCAACGTTAGCGCTCTTTCATTCATACATATACGGCTGCACTCAAAATATACATGCTTTGAATGGTGTTAGTAGCATCTGTTTTGAGTGTATTGGACTGACGAACTGACGAATTCGCCGTGTTGTTGTTTTTTTTTCTTCATACATATTGGTACCACAATGCCATGTGTTTCATTTTTGGATGTAGGTTCACATTTGAATTTAAAAAATAAAAATAAATTTTTACAAAATTTGTTTGTTTCTTACTTGACATAGTTTTATTTATTTTTAAGTTATACAAAAAAAAACGTCTGTTCATCTTTCGAATTCATTTTAAGTGAATCATTAAGTAAATTTACGGAGAAAAATACCAAATACATTTTTTAATCAGTCTTCCAAACAATATATTAAGATCAGCTCAGCTGACACGAATTAGCCGGCTACATTAGTACATTTCAACAATAATTTTGTCCTACAACGTGTGTCTGCATATGAATACTTCTGACACGTTGAAGAGTAAAATTATTCCGAAAAATTGTTGATATCAAAAAATTGAAATGCTGGCTTACACGTGTCAGATAAGGGCTAAGTCGTCTCAATAAAGTCGCTCTCTAAAATGAATTAGTTGTCATCGTCGTCATCGCTCAATGTGACTGTTTCTCGTCTTTCATCGACAATTTGTACATCATCCGAGCTGTCGTCCATTTCGATTGCTTCGTCTTCATCGCTTAAAAGAGCCTCAAATCGTAGAAAATCATTTTCAACGCGAATTGCATCCTCCAAATATGTTTTCCATTCATCCGTTGTACTGCTGTCCAAATGTGATCGAATGACATCTTTGATTTTATCAATCGAACGATCCTTCTCGGTGATGCTTTCGAGCAATTTCGAAAAATCAATGCGATGCATTGGACTCAATTCAGTATGTAAACATGGTAAATACAATACCTCAAAACCGGTCTCTTCCATGATTTTTTTTGGATCTATAAATGATTTTTTCGCCATCATACCCACTTCGCAATTTTTCCAACAAAAGTCCAACATCTCCACCGAATAGGCATCAGAACTTGAACTTGCACAAGGTATAAATGTATTATAATTCTTATAAATTCGTTCATATTTGAATGACGTGGGCAAAAAACCGGTGAAAATCGATGGTTTTGAAGGCGCACTAAATGTTTTTGGTTCAATAATCAAAACCGTACTTTTCGGTTGATTTCCCGATATTACCGTTAGCCATTCGATAAAATTTTGCGTTGTTTTTGAGTCACGTTCAACAAATGCAAAGTTCAGCAGTCCCGTATGATTGGCGGCAAAAAATACGGTCAGTTCATCGATGTCGGCCGATGATGCACCTGCTTTTGATTTATTAAAACCGATTGATACTTCACGAAAGTAAACAATATTACGTTGGGCTTGACGCAGTGATTGAATGCGTCGTATGTATTTAATGCGGGCCATTTTTTGTGCATGCATTTCGATCACAATTTCACGATTATGTGGAACAATAACAATGCAAAAACCCAAACGATTCAACCAAGTTTTGAGACGATCTGTTGTCATGGTTGTGCATTGCGGTTGAAGGTGATTGTACAATTTACGAAATGTCATGTCGGTTTGTTCGCATTCATAGTAGTTGTGTAGAATTGATCGAATGGCAAAACGTCGTCGAAATTCCTGAAATTCAATTTCGTCGTCGATGCGTTCACGTTTTAATTGATCAATAAATTTTTCACCTTGTAACTGAATCAACTCATCTAATCGCTCAACAACTGGTTCATTTTTTATTTCGATTGCCGCTTTCACAAGCGGCGACAGCAAAGTTATTAAACCATTATCACTGATATTTGCTGGTTTGCTCGTTGATTTATAAATCGTTTCGAATAATTCGGAAATATATTCATCTATATTGGCCACTGCTTCTCGCTTATGCGTCCGGATCATATTTACGAAATGAATTCCAATGCACACTTTTATTATATCGGACGGAATCACAGTCGACTCTGGTTGAGATTTCAAATGTATATATTCTTTTCAAAACAAGACAATTTGACAGTTCATATATACAGCGGAATGACGTACACACAGCATAACCTCACTTTCTTTTTCTTTGCACGAAAGGTTCGTTAATTACATAGCGGTGATGAATGTTTAAGGCACAGCATAAGAAATAGATTGGGCTTTTATATTGTTTGATTTAATTTTTATTCAAGGTACAGACATTTTAAATTAGAATTCTTATAACGAAGAAAACGAAATTGTAATGCTGAAAAAAATGAGAGTTCAAACCAAATAATACCAAAAAAATACATAAATCGATTTGGGTCTATGTTTTTTTCTTCTTCTACATTTTGAAAATGCATTGACATTGTTTTTCGCTCTATTAAACGTATCTGGATCGAATTCCATATGAGGGAATAACAAAAGGAAAAACAATTGCAAACTACGTGACTTAATCATTAAAAGTTGGTTCATGGATACGGCACATATGTCACCGAATCGACGTGGTTTTGTTGCTTAGCTCATACAGTTGAACGGTTTAATCCGTTTTGTTGCTTAGTTTACTTTTGTTTTGTTGTTATTGCTTAATTTACAAATTGCACTATAAAAATGACCGAAGTACAGTATGGCAAAGTAAACCGTGCTCAAATATGAGATTATCACAATGGTTAAAAATAGATCGAAAACAGCTGGTTTTACACTGCATCCGGTGAAAATGGCATAGTTATGATCGGTAGAAAAAAAAACAAGAAACAAAAAGTTAATTACAATTCATTTGTGTGACTATTTTAAGGCATCGAGTGTGCGCTCTCTCACCTGTAAATGTTCAGTACACCGTCTTGTCCGTCGTAGAACATAAAGTCTGGCTCACGTTGGTCTGGTTTATCGTATGAAATTTTTACATTTTTCAAGTATTTTTCAAAGGCATTCTTAACATCATTATTGATCAAAGATGAGCGAGAATAAAGCCATGGTTGGACTGTTTCACTTGTGATTGCCTAAAAAATAAATTGAACGATTCAAATATAAATTCTATAAATATAGCTCATTCTCCTTCGTATTTTCATAAAATGTGCAAAACTCACAATGGTTCCTGTGAAAATTTCTGTATTTGGTTCGGTTGGTGTTTGAGAATCTCCATTGGCCGCGCTTGTATTTCGATAAACGTAGCTGGCGAGAGTTTCAGCAATAACTTTGGCATTCAATTGGGCAATTTCAAGTGTTTTCTTGTGACTTTCCTCAAAGATGGTGGTTCGTTGTGGATCTTTGTATGATTTTAAATTTGATATGGTAAATGCTGGTATGCGTTTCATGCTATAGCGCTCATGTTCCCATGCAAGCTGTATCCGGCAGTGAAAAAAAATTATTACAAAAATGAAATGAAACATTCTTTTGCTATTTGCAAAAGGCCTCCTTTCTCACCTGTGCATCGGCTAAATTGATCTTTTTATGTACACCTTCGACCGATTGATTTGCATATCGTTGAGCATTTTGTTTCAACAATTTATAGAACGTATTAATGTTGGTGCCTTCCTTGGGTGGTTTCGATACATGCACAAATAATTCATTCAAACTAGTTTTGCCCAACGAATCCAAACACAATACGAATTCAACATTTTGTAATGCCGAATTTTCGTCAACATTTGCGTCCAACCATTTTTTTGTACCTTGGAAATTGACTAGATTACCAGATTCGGTGAGTAAAAATAAGAAACGATACTTTGGTGCCATTCCAATGGAATTATGCACTTTGCTGAATGTGTCCATTAGACTGAAGAATATAGCCGCATCAACGTTGCTCAATTGGTTCTGAAAAAAGCATGATATAATTAGTACTCTTTTTAATTTTGGTCTTGAGTCTTTACAAAAGCCATCGCACTTACATTAATCAATCCAAAATTATCGATATGAGCTGTTATGATGATTGTGGGTAACTTGTTATTTGTGGATGCATCGCTGGATGCTTGCAATATTGGATAGAGTTCACCTTGAACGATTGGAATTTTGGATTGTTTGTTTGGTGAATGATGAGCACCGCTCACTTGAACCTGATATCCATTGGCTGAGATCGAATTTATAATTTCACCCAAAGCTGAATCGCGTTTGCCGGCATTTTTAATTTCGGCAACATCATCTTTTTCGTTGGTCTTCAGCTTTGAAATGTCATCGATAATATTGTTGAGTTCCGTATCATATTTCGAAAAGAATACTGGTATTGAAATCTCTTGGGCCAACATCGCTTGTTCTAAAATCGATATTTGCTGCAAATAAAATAATGAATACCATTACACAAACGACGTCTAATTGAATTTGAATAATTTAAAATAAATCCAATTATCATTCGGATTGCATTACCTGACGTTGTTCGGCATTGAGTTCAGTCAAATTTTGAGGTAGCAAAAGAATGAGGCCACCGGCTTTGGCACGAATTTCACGAAATTGGTCGGCTGTTAGATCCTGAAATCTGCAGATAAAAATAGATACAATAGCATAATCGATTCGGAGCCCAATTCAATTTAAATCCAAAATAAAACTCTTTTTACCTTGATAACACACAGTGTCTAGATGTTGACCATGTGTAAAGTGATTTGGCTTCTAAGTTGATGGCAGATGCACGACATCCTAAAATAAAACAAACATAATTCACATTGAACAATCATTTTTCGCCATTTATAGCAGTCATTTGTATTTATTTTTCGAAATGAATTTTTAAGTGGTGGCTTAACCTCAATCGGTAAGACATTTCACGGCAGCAGTAATTAATCATTACTATGAAAATGATAAGCAAATTGTTCACTTACCAAATGGAACACCGTGTAAATCGTATTGGGACATTCGTTGCACATTAAATTCGCTACTAGCTAACACTGGATTCGATGAACAAATCATGAGAATGGGCAACGTAATTAAAATGTAAATTGGTAATCCGCCACGGAATAGGTCGGCCAAATTATCTGCGTCTTCGAACATGGTTCACTTCTTTCTTTTTTTTTTTGGTTGGCTGGTATTTGAAAATTAATTTAGTGAATATTGTACATTTAATTATGTATGTTTGGATGTGTGAATTTAGCAAAAATCAATGTGGAGCAGCAACCACGAAAACGACAAATCGCAATCGTTTGAGTTTCGATACTGAGTGGAACGTGCAAATACTAAACTGAAGACAATTGAAGAAATTGATTGAAAGAAAAAGTGACACTACGCACAAATACCAAAATATATACGTACCAACACGCAGTCACCGTTCTAATAATGAAACATCGGTTCTATGACACTTCATCATGTACCGCACATACATATACACACACATACACGCATTAATCGTAGCAATTACTGTAGTACGAACACATGCGCGTGATTCGACCGCATAATACAAAACCATTTACAGTTTTTGTGTTCGACCGAATTTTCCTAATATGCATTGCATTTATTGAATGTGAGAATTTGACCAAATGCTCTTCCATAAATTGCTTTCAATTTTCATTATTGAGGGAAATATTTAACCAATTAAAATACCATTTGACATTTATGTTTGCGGTGTCACGAGACCATCGATAAACGCACACAAATGTAAAACAATTTAATGAGACAAAATGTGTGAGAGTGTGTATTGTGTTGCGGTGTATGTCCAGGATGAAAACAATGTGTTTATCAAATAGATTACATTACGTGTCTCAGTGAATCGTCCTATTCTTTTCAACGATTCGATTTGGACTGAATAGAAAAAAAGAAACAAACCAATTCCATTGTCAAATGGATTTAACAAATATTTTGATTGTGATTTTTTTGCATATTGCTTTGGTCATCGGTTCGCAAGAAACAAGTTCGAATGAAGCCGAACAAGGCCCAAAACTATTGAATCAAAAAGCCTGTAAGTTTTTAAAAGTCGTATCCGATACTTTGGTTTCTACATAATCTTCTTAATTGTTGAATATTTCAGACGCCAAATTATTTAAGGAGAGACGAAAAGAGGGCAAAGATCTACTGCAAATCATTAAGAATGAGGGCACTTACGAGCGAAAGTACAAATTGCTGGAAGGTGCATATGAAAAATTGCTAAATGTAAGACATTTCAATGGTTGCCGTTCGTACGAATTCAAAGAAATTTTAATTCACTAAATAACGCATTGTAATTGAATTCAGATCCTGCAACAAACACAGCACATAATACAAACCAGCCGATATGATCCATTAGTTGATAAATTTCCACCAAAAGATGTTCGTTTGTTCGATGCCATAACAGTAACGCTGGAAAATACGTGTTTATTTGGAGAGATTTTAATTCACAATCCAGACATTTCGTATCGCATGCTTGAGTCTCAGCAATTGGGACCGGATTGGAAGGAATTGATTAATTGGTGTATCAAATACGCACGTCAATTCAACGACAGAATTATTGACGACAAGAGTCAGGAGCTGTTGTGGTTAATCGATCAGGAAATCAATCCAGAGAAGCGAACAGAAAACTATATAAATCCATATCGAAGTTCCGTTCACCAAAAAGACGGCACAAAAAAGCAAAAGAAAGCGAAAAAACTTGAACGCGGACCTCGCATGGTATCCCGCGATGAATTCTAATATTTAAAATAACCGAAACTGTTTTTTTTTTGTCAATTTTATAAATAAATTTCACTTTTTATTATTGAATACTTAAGCCTATTGATTTATATTTTTATATTTTAATGGGTTCTTTTTTTCGAGAGAAAGAGATGTGTGACGATTTTGGAATGGCCAAGATTATCGGGCCTCATTGGTGTTTGGCGCGATTTTTGGTGCCACAAGCTTGCCATAGCCACCTCGACCAGAATCGAAATCGGTACGGTATTCGTCACGAACCTATTTGTTAAAATGAACAAGAAATTTATAATACGTGACCATTAAAAAAAAGAATATTCGGAATTTGGTACTTACTTGTCCGCCAGATTTGCCCCTTCCATATTGACGACCCTCAATGAAACCGGCATCCCAATCGACACGCACAATTCGATCATCTAAACGTGTACCATTTATGTAACGCATTGCATTCTCGGCATCATTCCGTAGATAATATTCGAGGAAGCAGAAACCACACGGTGTCTTCTTGAATTTATCTAAGCCCATCACAATACGTCGAATTTCACCGCATCGTGAGAATAGCTCATGGATTTGCTCTTCGGTTGTGTAAAATGACAAATTTCCAATGTAAAGGGTGGCCGAACCGCGTAACAATCGCTCTTGTTCGTTGCGTGTACCCTACAATTCATTTTATTGATGAAAAAAATTGAAATAAATCGAATATCGAATGAATCAATTGCATTGTTTGAGGTTAAAACTATGTAAATTTTAGCACAATTATTCCAAGCGTCTTGGCATAAATTTACCTTAAAATGTTGGTCACGATATGAACTGAGCTCCACCGATGGCGTCGACATTATCTTTACCGATTTTTATCTTGACTAAATCAATAAATTCCAGCGGCAATTGTGATTTTGTGCTACAATCCTTAGCAAACATGTAAACAATTTCGCCGAATGACGTTCATCGAATGTCAAACCATATTCCATGTATACTGTCTGTTCTGTAGCAACGCGCTGAAACGGCGAACAACGACAACACCACAGCGAAGCAATAAATTTATGCGGCGAATTCAATATTGTCTAATTTAACATTCTCGCATCGTCTTTGCACAATGATATGATCGACAAAGGTTGTTCGATAGAGAAAGAAAATTTAGTAGCTGAAATGCAATTTTCAATCAGAAAGTGTAAATTACGAAATAAAAAAACATTGCAAAGTTATCTTTAAGATAATTTTAAAAAAATTGAATTTATTCAATCAGATCCACATAGTTTTTATTGTTGTTTCTTGTTGTTTAAAAGCTACGATTAAAATTATTTCATCTTATCCACTAATTTCGAAATCGTACTGCGTAAATTTATTGCCATATCCCAGCATAATTGCCAACAAGTGTCATTGGCAAGGGTCCACCAGCTGCGAATAACCGTGTTCCACTCATATCATAGCAATGCGTATAAATCGCCGGAACATATCGTACTTGTTGAAAACCTTCAATATCTTCTTCAGGAAATACATATCCTTTGCTTGCCTTCAGCACAACCGTACGCGATGAATTAATGCTACTCTCTAAATATTTTCCGGCTCTCAAATCATAAAACATTAACATTCCCAAGCCCGTTCCAACGGTTAACACATTCTCTTGAAAACTAGCCGAACGAATGCCACAACCTGAGTATCTTGATGCAATTTTTTTGACCGCTTGCAATGTTCTCGGATCCAAAAGTAATGTATATGATCGACAACCAACTGCATATAAACCTTGCGGTTGGCTCGCAATGCACACATTATCTTGGCAATTTGGTAGTTTGCGTGATAGTTTTTGTGAAAATGTCTCCGCATTAAAAATATGAATGTAACCGTTTAGTGAAATAACGGCAATTTCCTTATAATCTGGATTGAAGCATAGCGCACGAATCTTTTGAGCGGCTCGACATTCTTTGACTGAAAATGCCGTTATACGTTCGGGTGTTGGGCATGTTTCTTCGTCACATTTTTCATTCACTTCACTTTTATCTTCATTGATACGCCACAATGCCATTTTTGCATCCTTTGACCCTGAGACCAGAAATTGATCGTCCAACCAACACATATCCATAACCCAATCACGATGACAATATTCACCAATATAAACTGGATCGAGTGTGGGCAATCGATAAACGGCTATATCCGCGCTATGTCTTGCCGTGGTCGCTAACAGCGTACGACTTGGATTTATTTCGATTGCATTGATACCATTTTGTGTTTCAGCGCCTGCTTGACGGCTTCCCTGCAACGTTGGAATGGCATCAACTCGCCTCATATTCACATCGTACACCATTAATTTATTGCATTTTGTACCAAATATGATTTGTCGATTGCTCAGCCATTGCGAGCAAAACACTTTATTTATATTGCCTAGAGATATGGCCGATTCTTTGAACATGTCATGCGTAAGAATGTGTCGACTTGCATATGTATGGCATACACTTCGCTGTTCCTTAATATTTAGTTCACGGCTTCGTACATAATCGACAAAATTATAGGATGTGTTCAGTACTTCATTTTGTTGTACGGGAGTTTCATCTTCGCTGTCCGAATCTTCGTATGTTACGAAATCATCGGGTTTATCTGGTTTACGACGTCGTTCTTGTCGTAATTGACGAGCTCGTGCACTCCTCTCTTCAAGTCGTGACAGTATATAACAAGGAGGTCGTCGCCCAACAATGCTTCTGCGTACTGTTTTCGACATATTGGATATCTTTTTTTGATCGAAATCGTCGTTTTCACCAAAATAAAATCACCAAAACTATCCGAATCCAGTGTTAAATGAATTAATTTCGATGTTAATTACACATACACTTTACAGTGATAATTATAAACAAAATGTCGATTATCAATAATGGAAATGAAAATGTGAATTTAGATCATCAGCAAATTACGAAATTACGTCATTTAATATTTTGACGATTAACTGCAAGTTTACTTGCAATTTTCACATCATTTTTATACGATTTCAGCTTTTTACACATAGCAAATGATTCATAATCGACTTTGATGAGCAAAAAAAACTTTCTTTGATTACAATGAAAAAAAAAAACTATGAATTCGTAGTTCAACTTTTCCAGTGCCAATCAAAGACCTTCTTCAACTTATAAACAAATTACAGATGACGTTTTGAGAATGTCAAATAATTGAACTGCTTTCATAGCAACACAATCGCACGACAACACCAGCGAATTCCAAATTGTCTAACTCGTTGAGGCAACAGCACTTTGAAATATTGAACAATTATTCGTTGAAATATTGAACATTATTTTATTTTTCAAAAACTTAAATAACTTTGTAGCTTCAAGTTGCCAATGCATTTGCATTAATTTATTTTGAGCGATTCGTATCAGGCCAACTGTACAATAAAAATGCAATCAATATTATGAACATTTGTTTGTTTCTTTTCTTATTGGACGCATTCAATGAACTGAAATAGCAAGAAATTACCTACGCACTCTTTATTTTCTTTGAAAAATTACTCCAAATTCAAAACATACTCTGTTGATATTCAATGACATTTTTATTTCCAAAATTTAAATTCACAGCAAAAAAATGCAACGATCAAATTATCATAGATTTCAATTTATATTTCATTATAAGTGGGCTTACGATTTTTAACTTAAATTTGTGAAAAAAACCAAATCAAATAAATGCTCATGACATTGATAATGCTGCATATGTGCATTGTATGATACCAATGTCATCACTAACGTTCTTCAATCCATACGATACGCCCTTTGGAACGGTCACATCACAACCAGCAAAAGCGTCCATGGTGGTATCGTCACATTCTATAAGGAATTCACCTTTAAGCACGTGCAATTCCTGAAGATAAAAAGACAATTGGGTTTTATTTAAATTAGTGGCTAGTTATTCTGTAAAAAAAAATTATTTGTCATCTTACCACTTCATCGCGACTCGGTTCTTTGGCCTTCGATGCTCCCCCCTTGAATCGCATGAAACCAACTGATGGCTGTGATGCCAAAGATGGTACAAGACCAAAGTCAACGCCGTCTTTTTCTATATAAGAAATGTTATCGGTTGACGAAATTTCTGTGGAACAAAAAAAAATTAAATTGGAAAATGTGTAAATAATGTGAAAAATTTATATGAGCTAGAAAAAGAATCAAACATACCAATTTGATCACCATGTATGAGTTCAACATCAGCATTTTCATCATGGATTGGATCCTTTTGACTGAAATCAAGCATACGTTTCCACCAATTTTCTTGTTCCACCATTTCGAAAAGTTTTTTCAAAAAGTCATTCTCTGTACTTTCGTAGTCTGAATTTTTATGTCCCAGAAAATCTTCAGATTCATCATCATCATCGCATGTGTCATCGGGAAAATCTTCAAAATCTTCAACTCTTTCCGACATATTGAAGTATCCAACAATTCTTTCTTGATTGGAATTGTCGTTCTCACAAAAAAAAAAACAAGAAAATGATCCAAATCTAGTGTTGAATGAACGTATTCCTATGTTAACTTGCAACTTAATTACACGTACGTCGTACATACACTTTAAAATATAGACTGTCAATAATGGAAAAGAAAATGTGAATTTAGATCATCAGCAAAGCCGCCTTCGATCAGAATGACAAGAGAAACTAAAAAACGTAACTCAACTGTCCCATTGCCAATGTAAGACCGTCTCCAACTCATAAACAAATTACAAATAACGTTTTGAGAATGTCAAACATTTGTAATGCGATCATAGCAACATAATCGAACGACAACGGCAACACCAACGAATTTTTTGTGCAGCGAATTCAATATTGTCTACCTGGTTGAGGCAACAGCATTTTTTCACACACCATCGAATCAAAATATTCGTTAAAATATTAAATAAAACATGTAGCTACATGTTTTCAATTTTGACGTTTATTTTAAAATAAATGACTTTGTAGCTTCAAACAGCCAATGCATTCATTTATTTCGCATGTTTCGTATCAGGTATATTGTGCAATAAAAATGCAATCAATATTATGGTAATTTGTCTTATGATGGTAGGATAAAATGTTTCCTTCAATTCTTATTGGTCTCATTAAATGAACTACACTCCAAAGAAATTAATTACGATCCCATTCTTTCGTTTTGAAAATATATTCAAAATTCAAAGCATGCTCTGTGGATTGGATACACGTAATTCATATCGTCATCCCTTGAGTCATTTGTTGCTTTTGCACAGTAACGTTATTATTAGCAGTTCGCACGATAAATAGGCATAAAATTACCGAACGGTCAAATGCGATTCGATTTGGAGAGTACATGTTGAATGTGGTGCTCGAATTTTCTCCGCATTTTAGCGTGTTTATGGCGTTTGTTATATTTACCGTTGCTATGACAATGATTGTCCACTATGTGTATATTCGATGTTAAGCAATAATACATTTTGGTTAGTTTCAGTTCAACAAAGTACATAGACCAGAGTGGTTGATTCCACTCAATAATTTACGGTTTCAATTCTTTACGAATTTGATGATTTAGTTATGTAAATCGAGTTTCAATTAACAACTGTGTTAACGAGTCCAATTAAAGTAAAACTAATGTAATCCAACTCGTTATTCTTGTGAATATATGACATTTAGATTTGCCAAGAGATTCTATAAAACCATTCACAAATTATTGATAAAATGTGGGTTAGTTAAGTTTTAATTCGAGAATTGCTTCAATTAATTGTGAATAAGTGGGGCAACAACCTCAAAATGTTGAAGCACCCGATCTTTGCATTGTGTATGTGGAATATTTTCATTTATTTACCAATTTTGGCCAATGAAAATACCATCTTTCTGTATAATAACATTGAAAACTGTAAATCATCGGAATATTACGATGTAAATTATTTCATGTGCCGTGAATGTGATCCACAGTTGAGCCTGGTGCCATCGAAAAATGGTAAGAAATTACTACATTGTTTCCATTGTAAGAAAACTTATTATATTCATTTCAACATATCCAGTGCAGAGCCACAGTTTCGAAATATCATTTCGAATGGTGTATTTATACTCGTTTCAGTGCCAATATAAGGATAAATGTTTTATGTAGAGGCGATGTCATAAGTCAATTTGTTATTTTTACTTCGGTTTTTATGCTTTTATTTGAACGTTTGTTCCATTAATCGTTGTGTCGAAAAGCGGTTGCATGTTATGTCAAGTCAAGTCAGTTTTCCCCATCAAGAATATGTTGGCCAGTGTTGGAAAATTGCTTCCGTTAGGAATAAGCATTAGGCAACATATTATTTGCGTCTCTCATAAACATAGTCAATAGTCATATATGACTCAAACTATTTTCCAAATTGGTGTGTGAGTGTAAATCGGGACACGTTTCATTTGCCGTATGTTGAAAGCCAATTTTATTGGAACGATTTATTGACTTTGAACTTGTCTCAAGGCCATCGCTTCCGTACACTGATTTGTTCCGGATCAAAAATGCGATTAACATCGCCATGTAGTAAAAAAAACAAGTAGATATGTAAACACGCGCGAAACAGACACTAAGCTTATGTAAAACGATATGTTGATCTTCGTGCATATGAAAATTGAAAGCAGCGTATTCGGTATACATAGTCATAGATATTCAATTGGCGTGCTATCGTGACACTTGATTGCTTCAATTTTAATAAATATTTGTGTCTATGTTTCAGGTTTGAATTGTGTGTGCAATCAAAAGTCCATCACAAAAGTTGAGTACGATACAAATTTGAGGCAGCCAATTTGTTCTGCACTCAATTGTACGAATGCCATCGATTGCAATATTCAATTCTTCTCGCCGTTGTTGCGAACATCATTGTCATGCGGCTTGGGGCATTTGATCGAAGTAATATCGACATCACCGCCATCCAAATCAATACAAATACAACGAATTCCCGCAAAGAGCGTCGATAAGAATCAAACAACCAACTTTACATGTCCTGCGTATGGAAATGGCGAACAGTCACCGGCATTGGATTGTATAGATACCAAAAACTATGTTCGATTCAAAGATTATTGCATTCCGAATTATTTGATGAAGGATTTTTTGAATTACAAACAATTTAAAATTGGCACAAATCAAGCGACAACAACGATTGCCAATGATCTTTTTCAACATTTGGAATTTCTCGTATTTTTATGTCAAACGATGAAAATGATCGATTATTGTGAACACGTTGCGAATTTATGTGTGTTAACCGTTTATAATTTGGACAAATTTTCACCGTGTAACATATTTTACACAATGCAAACAGCACTCATCAGCACCGGAACCGATTCGTTTCAAACGAAATTAGTTCCGTTTCTATTTTATGCAAAGGGACGCAGCAATTCGGAAGATTTGGATAAAGTTATCGATTACCGATATAGATATATGAGAGATATTGACGACGCATATGACACGGATTTATATGATGGATTTAGTCAATTTCCGGTTAGTTCAAAAACTTTGTGGATTTGGATTCTTTTACATTTTTGATGGATTTTTTTTTAATTGAATAATTGTTTTTAACTTTTTTTGTATCAATAGGCATCGAATCGAATTTCTTTGTTGCTGGTGGCTCATAGTCTAAACGGAGAATTACAAACAATTCAACCACTTAAATTAGACGATTTGAATTTGTGTGGCATGCATCAGCAACAAGTACACTTTGGACAAAATTTGGCCAGCGCATGCCAAATTGACCTACGAGCTCTCATTGAAATTGGGGAACGGAAACAATCGTTTTTAAATTTGTTCTTAAATTATACGGAAAACAATTTAAATTTGGTGAAATCTGTTCCAATTCTGATTCGTAATGCGTTCACATACAATATGGTAAAGTATTTTGTTAAAATTTAATTCGGTGTTCTTTGCAAGTATTTAAATTTGATTATTTTAAACTTTTTAATTTTTTAGAGTCCATATGAACGTGATAAATGGCAATTTGTGAAGCGATTTTTCATGATCGACACATTTACTGGCCGAAATCGTACGTATCGATCTCATCCGTATGCAGCCGAAAATATTTTTGAAAAATACACAAGCATTCGATATGTGAAAAAGGTCGAATTACTCTTTCAACTGAATGAACACCACTACTATTTTGGCAATAAGATATCGGTTCCTCAGTTGATAGTCGAATATGCATCCATTGATATGCGTGAATTTCGATATGCAAATAATTTGGATATGGATTTCGAATTTCGTGTTACATTTACAAAAGAGTTTGGTATTGGCATTTTTTTGCACGTAAGTAACAAAAGAAAAAGAAAATCGAATACTTTATTAATTTTTCTACATTTTGCTTCAGATCCTATTTACGATTGCTATGGCGGCTGCATTTGGAATGGCCATTTTTCAAACGATGTCCTTCAAACGCCGCAAACAACAAAATGACTTTGATTCATTCCTTTTGGTGAAATTCATAATTCATTGTTGCTCAGCGGTGGGAACGGTGTTGTTTTTAAGTGCGTCATTTTTAAGCATATACATCTATTTTATCTACAAAACACAATATGTTGTGAAAGTGTTACCTCCATTCGGTGAATTGAAAATGATAAAATTCTTCTTCATTTTGTCGTTCATTTTGAAGGTGAGTTTTGTTTATTCTCTTTATCATTTCGTTCTCCGTTTTTCAACTTGGTCTCTCTGGTAGATCGTTAAATTCTGCCATCATTTGGGCTTGCAAATAAATTGCGATATATTTTTCATCGATTGGGAACGACCACGAGTATTTGAACATCAAATTACATTGAAATCCACAAATAACTTGGACACACCGTCCATTTGTTCGAGTGTAAGTTGATATGCAAGGAAAAATATGAGTCAGTGGAAATTCATTAATCAAATTTCAGGCTCGATATCAACAGAATGATGGACTGTCTGCATGGAGAACGTATTTTGTTGCAAATGAATGGCTGAAACTATCAACAAAGCGCAAATGTTCAATTGGCATTCAAATTTTGATGGTTTTACTCACAATCATCGTAAATATTTTTATCAACGATTCATTCAAAGTTTCAGACGTAATTTGGAATATTCATTTTAGGTGTTTCGCTTTGATTGGGCCCATCTGTTTTCATTCAAATCGATTTTCCATTGGCCATGGACACCAGGTAATTGTTCTATAAAATTGATGCCAAGAAAAATGAAAATTTAAATGTCCATTTGTTTTCATAAGACGCCGATCGGATCATTCGAAATGGACGTTCACTGGAAATGCTTGCAATTGGTTTGATTGTATACTGTGTTTGCTATGCAATTCAACGCGTTTTCAATTTTCTCATATATGAACGATACATACTCAATTCTATTCAACAATTTATCGACATTTGCTCCATGTCAAACATATCAATGTTCATTTTTTTCATTGACTCATACGGCTACTATATCCACGGAAGGTATATATCAAATACATGTGTATGCACAAGTCTTCAAGCTCTTTTTTTCCATTATTTTAGATCGCCACACGGCTTTGCTGACACTGATATGTGTTCAATGCTGCAACAACTGCGACGCGAGAGCGAAAATATGTGCGGCCATAGAGGCTTATTGCCAAATTCAGAACACCAAACTTTCTGCTTTTTAGCTCCATCACAATTGAGGTAAATATGAAAGATCTATTTCAATCGTTTTATAAAAAAAATGTTTTTTTTTTTTTTTTTGTTAATTATAGAGCTCTTTACAACAAATTGAAATCAACGCTGAGGAAATCAACGGAAGACAAAAATGGGCCACAAAACTATCAACAAAATCAGAATCAGCCCGATGAAACGGTTGGAAAGTTCTTTGAACAAAATCTCCAACAAATTGCTCATACAAACACAACGATCAATCGCTTTCTTAGTGCATTTATTGATCATGTACGGATCGAATCTGCTGTGGAACAAATATTTTTTTTTTATTTCACTTGAAATTCACTCATTTCTTTCTTGCAGGGACTGAAAGATTTGGACTATATAATACAAGAAAAATCAATTGTGGAATATATTTTTGACTTTGAATTTGATAGCAATGTCACTGAAAGTAAGAAATATTGACTTTGTTGAAGCTGGCAACTAATTTAATATTTTATTTCATACAGATCGCGGAACATTTTATATGGACAATGGTCATTCATTTGATAGTATTTTATTTTATGGCAACGAGCAGCTTTTATTCCAAATCGAAATTTTGCTATTCCTCTTCATGATTATAATATGTGGAAATTTCTTGTTTGCAATTTTAATTCTGGGAATTTGTTCAGAGGTTATTATAAATATTCTTCTCAAAGTAAACAATCGAACTTATTTGCTTAAAACATTTTTTTTTTCACCTTTCACAGATATTAAAACATACAATGCGATTGCTTGTAAAAAGAAATTTGTCCGATCAAACATTGATCGATGAACGATTTTTAATATAATTTTAATTCGTGTTCAAATGTATTTTTAAAATGGAAAATAAAATTGGTTGAAGTATTTAAGAAAAAGAAAATCGATTTTTTTATGGTAAAAAAGGCAGTTCGCGATCTCATCATCTTAACAATCGATCTATTTTTGGGTTTTTGATTTTGTAATCAATAATTTTTCTTTGTTCGACTCTATTGACGAGACTGCTGCGAACCACCCGACATACAAAGCATTTCAGTCGCTATTTGTATCGATTGTGAGAAATTCAAAGTTTAGTGAATTATAAAAATTCCAAATGAAAAGCCACAACAATGTAACTTTATACACACTCAATCGCAATCATATTTATCGTTCCATACACATATAAAATACATATAATATTCATCCGTTCCATCAAATAAACGTCATTGCATTTGTAAATAGCAACGATACGATTGTGTACCTTACCTTTCTATTCAATTGTGAACTGATACATGCGCACAAACGGTCATTTATTCGTAAGTGTTGAGCGCAAGAATCGATCTCGCGTACTTTCATTTTGCACTGTTATTTACATCTACGCATGTGTATGTGATGTTCAAAAAGCAATGATGTTTGCGTGCAAATCATTTAATGGAGCTGTGTTGGTTTCATTGTCAGTGATCGCATATGCGCACACTCAATTGATGATCTCACTTAAATGTCAGATTGAAAATAGAAACATCAAATAGCCTCATCATATAATATTCTTAAGTTCATTTTTATTTCAGAATTTTAAATTCACTGCAAAAACTTTCAACGATAAAATCTAAGTAGATTTTAATTTATATTTCATGAACGAGCATTTTTATAAGGCTTTAAATTTTTAACTTAAATTTATGAGGTGTATAGAGAAAAATAAAGCCAAACAAGAAAAAAAAACCAAATCAAATATTTGTACATGTGATCTTAATAGAAATGTTCATGACATTGATAATGCATATGTGCATTGGATGATACCAATGTCATCACTAACGTTCTTCAATCCATACGATACGCCCTTTGGAACGGTGATATCACAACCAGCAAAAGCATCCATGGTGGTATCGTCACATTCTATGAGGAATTCACCTTTAAGCACATGCAATTCCTGAAAAGATAGATGAAGATAATAAAACAATAACATTTAAAAATAGTGGCTGATTGTAATCTTTAACCAAATGTGTCAACTTACCACTTCCTCGTGACTTGGTCCTTTAACCTTAGACGCTCCACTCCTAAATCGCATAAAACCAACAGTTTGCCGTGATGCCGATGGTATAAAACCATAGTCGACACCGTCTCTTTCCATATAAGAAATTTTGTCCGTTGACGATATTTCTGTCGGAAGAAAAAAAGGAGGTTCAGTGTTAAATTCGAAAATGTGAGAAAATTGTATGGGCAAGAGCCCAAGAGAGTTGACATACCAATTTGACCAAATCTGTTGTTTATGTGTTCAGCATCGGTGTCTTTAATACTGTGTATGATTGGATCTTTTTGTTTGAGATTAAGCATGCCTTTCCACCAGTCTTCTTTCGATAGCGTTTTTTTCTTTATTAGCATCGGAATTTCTTCTTGGAATGGCGTAATATCATTGCGATGCTTCTCTGCTTTTTCGTGGCTTTCTTTGATTGTTGACAATTTCATCGATTTTGTCGATTTACTACTTGAATGTGTACTATTTGACGGTCGTTTGGTACGTTTATGCCCCATTTCAGATTGTGCACGAGGTTTTTTTCTCGGTGGTTCACTTTCGAATTCGTTTTGAAATGTAACAACAGGCGCCGTATGTCGAACTGGTTCTCTTGACTTTCGTTTTGTTGTGGGTTTACTAACCACACTGCTATAAAGTTCGTTTCGGAACTGTTGCAAAGAATTTGCTTTTACATCACGGCCTGATCTTCTCATGGTAGTCGGAACTTCGGTTGCTAACGATCAAAAAAAAAAAGAAGTAAAACAATTAGAAAAGATGCAATGAAAGCGATTCAGTGTAATAATATGTACTTACATGTGACTTCATTTTCTGGTGCAATGTCTACTTGTTTTTTTGCTTTCGCCGTCGTTTGATTCGTTTTTTTTGTCGCATTTGTTCGAACTTTCGGTTGAGCTTTCTGCTTTCGTTTTGGCGATGGTTCTTTTTGTACACTTTGATCTGTTGTACTCGGTTCATTGTTTTCAATGAATTCATCTTCATCCATTGGTTCAACATTAATTGGTTCGTGTTCCATTTCTTGTTCTTCTTGTTGTGATTCGTGTTGTTGCTCTGGCCCATGCGATATTGTCAAAACTGATTGGTTTGCATTGACACTGTTGTTTTTGGTTACATTTATTGATCTTGATTTTGATACCCGGACTGCAGGCGCAGATGGCACTTTGAATACAGAATCATTGGCCGCCGATGAACTTTTACTGCTTTTTGTCGTTTCGATATTTTCATCAACAGTCTCATCATCATCTTCAAAAATAGTCGAACGAAGTTGACGTGGCGTTGGTTTTTTCGATGGTTCCTTATGTTTGATTTTTTCGATATTTTTTTCGAAAACTTCTAAATCTTCATTTTTCTTTTTTGGTATTCGCTTCCTTCCTACTCGGCTGCTGTTACTGTTCAAACCAAGTGACTGGTTCTGTTGCTGTAAAAATTGACGAATTTGAGATATACGCTATAAAAATAGTGTAACATTGATTAGACTCGATTGAATCAAATCGATAAAAAATATTTAAAAAGATAACTTACCTCATTAAAATTGCGCAAACTTGTTTGTGGTGATCCCTCCTTTATTAAATCGTCATCATTTTGAAATTCAAATGGTGGCGGTTGAATGTACGATTTACTTGCGTGCAAATTTGAAATATTTTCAGTTGAATCACCAATTGTTTTTCGTGTTGAATTTCTCATTGAAATCCGATTCAATTTTACAACCGGATTGAATTCTTTTGAAAGAGAATTGGTTTGATTTAGTTGCGATGTGCGCTCGTTCACAGATGGTTGCTCATCATTTCGATCGATTAAGGCTACATCATTTTCATGTCCTTCATCATCCGCGATGGGCTCAAGAAATGCTTCTGATGGCAAATTGGCTGCATCATTAATACTGTATGTATCACCGCCAGTATGGCTTGACGATGTCAGTGCTTGCGAATTTTCAGTGGAATTCATTCCAACGTTTGGAATGTCATTTGATGGTTGGGCCAATCCATTTTCTGTTGCAACATCATAGGTTGCATTTTGAATTGATGTTTTTGGTTTAACAAATGTCTGCGAACTTGGCACCATAATGCTTGACACACTCTTTGCACTCAAGTTCGAGTTTCGTTGTCGTGTTCGCATTGGCGATGCAATTGAATCTCCTGTAATTGTTCGCGTTAAATTGTCAATTTTGTTGAAAGTTGTTCCATCGCGTCGGGATTGTTCTGGATCGTCTTTCGGAAAGAGTTTGCGTCTTGCCGAAATATTGCCACGGTCTAAAATCGGTGTATTGGATCGATCGGAATTGATCATCTTGTGACCATCGTTCGAATTGCTATCATTGGTCAGTATACTGTCGTTGCTTCCATTTTCAGCGTTTGGACCATTTTCGTTAAGCGGATTATTTGTACGAATCGTGTGTGTTGTTTGTTTTGTTTGTTGTTGTTCTTGTTGCGATGGTTGTGATGTTTGGGGATGTGAATTGCTTACATTCACATTTATCGTGACATTTTGTGGTGGAACTACTGTTGCTGGTGTTGATATTGGTTGCGTTTGTTGATTTGCGGTTGGCGTTTGCACTACGATAAAGTCATGACGCCATCCGCCATTCTTTGAACTAGCTGGCGTTGCATCACCAATATTTGATCTCGGCGTGTGGACAATTCCTCTGAATATCTTCGATACTGGAATACGAGATGGAGTTCTTGACATTAGATTTCGGCCTGGTGTTGTTGATGATGGCACGTATTTCGATGGTGTTGTCATCGGTGATTTATCTCGAATCGATGGATGTGGTTGAAGTTTTTGTGTGCTATACACCAAATTATTGCTTCGAGGCGCTGCCTGCTGGTCTGTATTCTGTTGTGTAACCTTAAAAAAATATACGCACATTGAAATTGAAATCATAAAAAAACATGTGCCGATTGTTATTTTTACCTGTGCTTGCACTGGATTATTTTCGTGATCGTTTTGTGAATCTGGTATTTCGTTTTCTTGAGTTTCGGGAATTACCGTCTCGTTTGGTTGCGTCTCTGGGATTGCAGTGTCATTTGGTTGCGTTTCCGGAACTATAGTATCGTTTGGTTGTGTTTCTGGTACTCGAATTGATGTCGATACTGGTTCATTGTTTTTATTGCTATCGTTTGTTAGCGTTTTATCTGATGAGTTCATTGTTCGTGTTCTAGCATCTTTTTCGTGAGCATCTCCGTTCGATGAGCTGACTTCTTGGTCGTTATCTGCTTTTTCAGTATGTCGTTCTTTGGTGGCAAAGACAGACGCTCGTTTTTTATTTGTTCCAACTGGTGTGCTGAAATTTGTCGGTAGAAAAGTGTTCGGAATCATATCTCCTTTGAATTTCGTGGTTCTTCTTGGCGAACGAATTCGATCGACGGATTTTCTCATTCTATCGCGTACAATGGCTGCCGGTGTTCTTGAGCTGGTTCGACTTCTTCGATTTTGTTGTGGTGTGCTAAATGTCCATGATCGATTTGTAGGATTTGACGGAAGACTTAGGTTTGACAGTGACGACGGTGTGAATGAATCAGATGTATGACTCATTCGAGTCCATTCGACATTATAATCAGAAAGTGGACTGTTTGAAACCTGAAACAATGAATGCATTGCATTATTATTTTATGTTTTTGCAGGAAAAATCATATCATATTGATTTTGCACGCTTACCTTTACTGGTCGTTTTCGAATTTCTGGATCAAGATTGGTTCCTTTATTCTTTTTTACCGCCCAACCAACTAACTCAGACACTCCTGTGTCATCCAAACATGCATCGACACTATGATCCGAATCTGAGTTACCATCCAAATTATATGTATCCAAATTTTCCCTAGCGAACATCTGTCTACTGAAATAACGGAAGAAAAGAAGAAGAATGAACATTTTTGTTTTTTTACCCAAAAAATTAAAACATCTATTTTCATTATACGACCGTACAAAAATGAATGAACAATGCTTGATTCATTCATTTCGACACAGAATATCACTTTAATTTCTTTGTTTCGATCAAAAACGAATTTATTTATTTTATTATTCAAACAAAAAGTGCTTTCATCCATGGTAAATCACACTGTATATATTGTATACATAACAGCAGTTTGATTGTAAAAATAAACACAATGAACGCTATTATTCAATACTTACATTTTATTCTGATTGACCGGGTTTAGCGGACGTGTATCCAAAGTATTACCATGCCAGTTCATATTGATGTTTTATTGTGATTTTGCTTTTATACAGATGAAAATACACTATCGAACGTTTGAATGCGGTGCACGCGTCTCACCAATGCATTCGAATACTAAAATCTCACGCTAGTAGTATTCTGAAAATACGATGGAATAACAGCATACCATTCAGTCTATAAACGATAGTTAATTGTTTTGTTTTCAACAAAATACACAAACACTTCTCAAAAACGTTGATAAAGAAAGAAACTTTGCAATTCAAATCGATAGAACTGCAGTCATAATATTTTGCGTGTTTACTCAATTGGCTTCACTTATGTTATGTGTGATATTTGGTGGGATTTGTTTGATCGTTGACACATTTAATTCGAATTTATATTAGTTTAGAAAGCGGCCACCACACTAGCGCCACGGCGAATCACAGCAATTTGGGGTTGTCGCATGTATTTGACACTCTGGTGTCATTTAGAGACTGTACTTACTTATTCACAAATTGTGTTTACGTCTGACAAATTAGTTTTTGGTTTTTATTGTATAATACACATTCGATAAAAGTTCACGCGCAAAAAATAAAGCGAAATCAAATAAGTTTCGTCGACGAAAATACAGTAGCATAAAAAATGAATCAACACTCAAATAATGCGATATCGTCACCGCAACAACCACCATCGGCCCAATCACAGGGTTCAACGTCTAGTACAGGCAGTCTTCCGACTTCAACACCCGCTCATCCAACACAATCCAAAACAGAAACACTTGATAATATTGCCAAAGTGAAAAGTTTGACCGGTCCGTTGCGAGATTCGCTTGCTGTATGTTATCACGTGAAGAATTAGATTTAATTCGTCGTCAAAAATTGACAAAATACTTAGAATTATTTTTCTATTTGATTGATTTTTGGATTTTTCTAGATGACGTTGAAAACAGCAGCCAATTTGCTACACCACAACAATCTAATTGATAATGGGCCGATCAAAGGGATTGATAATAGTAATCAAACACCGCCACGTTTTGATAAACACTTGGAAGAGTTCTATTCGATTTGTGACCAAATTGAATTGCATCTGAAGACGTCAATTTTATGTTTGCAACAAAATTCAGCTTCACAACGCTATTTGCCGTCACAAGTTATGTTCACACGTATGGACACCACACCAACAAATGACAATGCAGTCTCATATCCACAGTATTTATCTACGGTGCGTCAACATATCGCATATGCGAAAGACATACACGATACGCTCATTTGTGCCGCTCAAAATCTAGCACCCAGTGAATAAGGGACCACTCATATTATAAGTACATCATTTTTTTACCTGCGTTTTTTAAGAATAAATGAATAAAAGGACCGTCATAATTTATAAAAAAAATCTTTCAATTGTTTATTTGTTAAATAGTTCATCCTTAAAGATTATGTGAAATAATAGAAAATTTTGTGTTCTACACGTTTCAAATTTGGAAAAAATTAAATTCTAATTATAAGAAATTCTATAACAATAACCGATGTCATAAAAAGCAATTAGACACTGCTGCAACTTACAACGAGATCACCATTTTCTACAATTCTATCTATGCTTTTGTGATTGTTTCCTATTCTCTTGTTGTGCTATACATTCGTCTGAATAACGAAACATTTACGCTAATTATAAAAACGTGTTGCCATCACTTTTGTTCTTACACCATTCTTTGTGATAGACCATCTACATAAGCAATTGAACATAAGCAATAGAATATCTATTGTATATATAAGCTATTAAGCATTTGCAAAAAGCTTCGTTTCTGAAATAGCTGAGAAATGTCTCTACTTAATTTAAACTGAACATAATATGAAAACACCAAATATATTTGTGTGTAAAAAAGTGCTGCATGAATCGATGATATGAAATGTTCACTGATTTTTTATAGTTAACACATTTATCGAATGTTCGTGTGTTTTTTCATTGCTTTGGTTTGGTGTTTGTCGTAATTTAGCATTTTCAGGGTTCGACATCACATCATCAACGAATGCACGCGTTTCCAATTTGAGTTGATGAAGTCGGGCATGCAACGAGCGATTTTTTCGTAATAGCATAATTGTTTTCATTGCAATTTCCATCAAATCTTGACGATAAAATGGATTATTGTAGCGTGGTGATGACATTTTTGATCGACAACACATTGTCATCGCATCAGTTGTTGATGATACCGGCGAAAATGGTGTTAATGGCATTAAATAGTTTAACGGCTGAACACGTATATTTCCTCGTTTGAGATCTTCATTAAATGATGATGATACCGAATTTTCATTCGTATCACTTGATGTACTGTAAAAATAAACAAAAAATATCGCGTCAAATTATGAATGCATAAAGATTCAATAATAAAATCAATTACCTGATTACGTCATCTTCGGAATCAACGAACTTTTGACGCTTTGCATAATTATGAAAGGACATTGGTGTTGAAACACTTGGAATACTACTACTGTCTGATGAATCTTCGCTTTCATATGACATTCGAGTTTCTCGCCTGCAGCGCTTAATTTTATTACGGCGATCGGATGAATACGGAACAAATTCTCCACCTAATCGATTATAGGTGTCCTTCTCATTACTCGGTTGATTTTCGCGATTTTCTTGGCGGCCAACTGCAAAAAGGATAGAATAAAAGCAAAAATTAAAAGAATTCGATTATATAAAAATTATACATAATTATTGTCTCATTAAGAAAATCCTAACTATTTAAAGGCGATTTCGGAATATTTATCGAAATTACTAAACGGTTTCCCAAAAATACGGGAATTAAATTTTTTTGTTAAACTTCCAAATTTGCACGAAAATTAACGTTTTCGGAAAAAATTTATTGCAAGGAGTGAACATAAAAAAACGAAATAATTATCAAAAAATAAATGAATTGAAATTAGATAATATGGTCATTGGTCATGTTAAAATATATTTTCAAAGAACAAATGTTACGGAAAATCTATATATTTCAAAACGAAAATTAACACAAATCATATGTTCTATAAATTCTCTATGAAGCACAAAACGTAGTTAACAGCTAAGCGTGAAGCAGCTTATCTATCGATGTATATTCATTGAAATGAATCGCTCTAATTTCAACGCAATTTCCATACAAGAAACGTGTTTTCAAAACTAATGATTAAAGTGATATTTAAAAATTGTCTTAATTAATTCGAATTAACTTACCATAGCTAATTACCGAGCGGTGTCTCAATATTCGATTGTTGTTTTGATATGAATCCATATCATCTTCACAGATAGTCGGAGCCATAATTTCTTTGCTTGTCAGCTGTTTCTGAAAGAGAAGAACAAAATAAAATGAAAACCATTTGAATTATATATTCGTATATATATATATATATATATATATTGAATTTCGATCCATAAAATGTTATTGATGAAGGTCAGTATTCGCTCGTGTTGCATGTTTATTCAAAGTCTAGTCGTTCCGTGAAATAACATTTGAAAAAAAATAAAAAGTGTCTTGTTTTTTCACAGCATTCGGTTTTTCTTATCTATAATGACATTTTAAATTAATCGAAAATAATCTATTGTTTAATTTTGATTGCAAGCCACGTGTGTATTCTATTCTTAAAATAGAAAAAAAATAGTGAAATGTGATCCAAGAATAGTTTAAACATGAATTGTGTATTCAGTGAAAATGTGGTATCTATGGGAAGAAAAACAAAGTCGCACGGAAATGTGATATAAATGCCAACGCTTCTTGTTTTTAGAATGGTATTGGTGCTTCCTTTTTATGTACATTTATTGTGTAAACAAGATACTTCAATTCTGTCGTAAAACCATGTAAATTCATTGTTAAGTTATTCGAATCATATTGTATCAACTCAAGAGGCATAACACGTGTACTCGCACATTTCCATAAGTTAGATTGGTTTGACATTGTTATGTGAGGCTAAATATTTCCCCTCTCACGACTGACTGTTGTACAATCTGTATGAGTAAACATTTAATTAAAAAAACGTGGCTCTTTGTATATACCTTCGTGAAATTCTGTTGGAACCCATTAGACCCAAGTTTCAAGAGAGAAATGAACGTTTTGACGAAAAAACATAAATTATCGCAATGCCAAATTTGCATTAAATTCAAATTGACAGTGCTTATCCGACAGCCATGTATTATATCCATATTTATCTGATAGTGAGTTGTATTTTAAATGTCAAATTCAATTTTAGCGAATTCAGGTGAAGACAAAACCAAAGAGATTTTGGCTTCTTTTTTCTATTCAAAAGGCCTTATTAGAATTTCCATCAATACAATGAAAGCACATCCATAATCCCGATATAAATCATAATATAATTCGAAATCTGATGCCATTTGACATACGATATTCTGGAGAAATGAGAACCGACACACTCCGTCGGTGCAATGATAGGTTCATTGAATTGTCTCTCATTGCGTCGTTGCGATTTTACTAAGTGCCAATATGTGAAATGTCGTCAGTCTTTTTTTATGATCTCTTAAGTTGCAAGCAGGGAATATTATTGAATTGTTTGTCACCAAAAGCTGTTAGTGGCGCTAGTGCAAGCCAATTTTTTTTTATTCCTTCCTAATAGCAATAACAATCAAAGTTCACATTTCATGTAAACCAACAAAAAAGGTGGCCAAAAAATGACGAAAAAAATCGATTTGCGTTTATTTGCAGTATATTGAAAATGAAATATCACGTTTCATTGTGTCGTTGCTGGGTGTCTATAATGTATATATGCAGAGTAACCGTGACAGCTCAGAGACAAAATAAGCACATTTTCAATGCGATGATGTGTGATGTTTATTGTTTCGTGACGAATCTGCCGAATCACATAATCGGTTTCAATTGACACTCGTGATTTTTAGGTCGCGTGCTGATCGATATTTGCGTTGAATGACCAGAGTCTAATTAGGAATGTAATGCACTTGACTGATTTATAAAAAAATATCAATGAAGAAAATTACATATTCCTAATTGCAAGTCTGTTGAAGTTTTCTTTTTCATTTGTGTACGCTAACGCACAAAACCTGTTTGCATGCGTGCATATGTTTGTCGGTGAAGCTCGATGGAGTCAATGATCTATGTGAAAACAATGCACGTGTTTCAATCAAACTTTTATGCGTAGAAACAATTGGTGTGGCATTCAATTGCCGTTGCGTTTCATAACAACCATACGTTCGTCTCGATTCTATTGAAAATAACAATTGTTTTTAATCACATTTGATGTCTCTTCTTTCTGTGCGCATGACTGGTATGCATTTATTATACGTTGCTTGTAATTAAAATTTGCAATGTTGCAAACGGTTTGTCTATGATTTATTGTGGTTTATGCTCATCCAACAAATCAACCGAGATCACGTTTTGAACGCTGCGAATGCAGTCATTAATATATTATCACGAGTTATAAGCAATTTACTGCATGTGACATGGAGACGCAAGCGAATTTATGATTGGTTCGTAATTAACATTAAATTGGCTCAGCCAATTTTTTGTGCATTACCATTTTTTTCATTACAGTATATAAAATGTCTAATTGAATTTGTCGTACTAAAATAATGATCGCGTTTGTGGACACTCCAAGGCACGTGAGCCTCCATTTTTCTTTGTTGATTATTGTTTAATTAAACTTGCCACATTTTATTTTCGTTTATTTAATCAAATGGTACGGAACCAATGACATGACTTTTTGCTCTTATCAAATGTGGAGCAGAACAGCCAAACAATACACAGACATTTATTTGGTAGCCTGATTTGAAAACAAGTTTACTAACATTCATGTATTTGATATGATAGCGTGCAATGACGCTGCAATCCTTTAAACACACACATTTTTCCCGAAAATTGTTTTCAACATTAAACCGTTCCAAACTCAATATCGATACTTTCAATTCGAATAAGTTACACAATTTAAACTCAATGCGGTCATATTTTCGTCATTTTTATAATTTTGTGTTGTTCTAGAATTGACCGCAATTTATCGCATTCATAGTAAGAGTGAAAATCAAACAATCAATTCATCGTGTACGAGTGTCAATTCATTATTATAAAACATTTACGTCAAAAACATCAAATTTTTTTTTATTCAACAATTAATATTTCTTCTTCTTTATTACTTGATATCAAATGATATTTTGATATGTAAATATTTTATAATAATGAATTCACGTTTACATTTTACCGCATATTTTTTGTGTGTAAACGAATATTATTTACAAACATTTGAGTCATAATGATCTGTACTCTTAAAAAAAAGTTTTCTGACGTCAATGAACGCATATCGATTGATTTTTGGAATTTGGAATGAGAAAAAAATATTTAGAATCGAATGTTTCCAGATGTAAACAACGATTATCGTGTGCAACGCAAACATGTTTTTGTTTTTTATGGTGTATTTTTACAATTTTACACATTTTATTCACAATAAATGATCAATTTATTTTCGATTTTTACGGGCTTGAACTGTTGCGTTCTGACCAAAATGACACGTGTTCTTGGCACTCCTTCAAGTGATGAATGAAGAATCTTACATATATTACGAAACACGTTGACTCACCATATATTCAATGAAAGCGAATGATCGTTGATCGTTAAAAAAGCGAATAAATTCAATCAAAAAAAATCAACGGAAAAAACAATGTATTTATTCTATTGTAAATTCAAAAAACCGTAATCATACTGTTATGTGTGCGTGTACACGTGCATTCGACTAAACGAAAACAAACTAAATCACAAAAGATTAAGGCGCACATCGGTTTCATCGATCTTTTTATTTATAATATAAATTTATACGATCATAGATGACTTTTTAGTAACATTCTTTGAGCGTGTTCCGTTAATCAATGTCTTCTCATTCGGCTCGGTATGATAATGATATTAATTCATGCCAATTTGAAAATCAGCAACAACCACGCGCCTTAAACGCGATAATAATAATTCATCAGCGCAAGTATTTATAGCTTATTCTCGAAATAAATCGACGAAAAATACTTCAAACATTTGTCAAGCTCACAATGAACTCATGCATTTTGTAATATATCAACTTCCGTAGATCATGAGAAAAAAAATCACATCAATTTACGATTTTGTGAAGAAGAAAATAAAAAAACATTGACATGTGTAACAAAGATTCACGACAAAAAAGTTCAAATCAAACACACGCATGAATCCCATCGAATGACAAACAAAACAGAATGAATGAACAGGGAAAAAATAACGATTGAGTACAACAACAATGTCATTTATACGACCGCACGTGGAACAAACGAAATTCGCATAAAGCATGAGGAACAACAACAACAATATTACACGAGCCGCGCTTCTTGATATGTGCCAATGTGAAATAGTTTGTCATTAGTTTTGTTGAAAATTCATAGACACGATGACGAAAGATGATCACACTTAGTTTTTGTACACGTTTCAAAACTAAATTTACAAATGAGCTGAAGAGTAGGAAGTTTCCGTTGAATTTGATGGTCTGTTTGAAATTGCAAATGGATACGTCGAAAAAAGTATAGGCAAACAGACAATCAATGTTCAATGTTGATTCGATAACAGTCAATAACAGAAAGCTTAAAAAGGATAATTTGAAAGGATAACATTGTTTGATTAAATATGATACGATTATACAACAAGAGATAAAATACATTTTTAGAAGTCATATCAATCACATCATTGCTCAAATTAGAGAACAACTCTATAAAAAAACAATGATTCATAATAAAAAGCTGAGCTTTGTCTAAAAAAAATAGTCACATTTTCGCAATACATCAAGACTCATTTTCAGCATTGTTTACGTGATTGTTTAATGGAGAGCGATCAAGTGGTGACTATCCAATCAGCAACATTGTAGAGCACGTTTTTCAGACATTGTTCTCCCCCTCATGACATACAATGTGCTGTCGTTGATTAAAATGCAATGAGATTCGTGTATGATGAGCAATGCGAAAAAAAAGAATCCAAACCTTATAATTCACATTGAACGCAGTATTAATAAAACCAATGAGTAATGAGTTTCACGTGTGTGAACCGTTTGTGAACAATGAAACTGTTGTTGACAGAAGAATTGACTCCAGTTTCATTACAAAGTCGGTTCAGGAGCCATATTCGTATTAATAAACAGTTTTGGATGTATTTGTGACACAGCGAAGCAATGTGACTTTTTTTAAATGGATTTACAACTTCCACAAAATAATTATACAACCATTGTTTGTGATGTGCATTACCATTTACGTGTTACGTTTTAAAACAACTCTGCATGTGATAATAAAGATTTTAGAAATAATGAGACATGGTTAAAATGTATGGGAAACAACGCAGGTTTTGTATAAAGATGCTAATGCATGTTTCATAAACGTGATATGTGCTTCTCTTTGATCAATTATCTTATATTCAACCCGGAAATAGCCGCTACATGCGGCACTTACATCATTATAAGCTGAACCAAATTGATCCGCATCGATACAATGATTACGTGTAATGGGCTTGATTATATTTCAGTTGCAATGCACAGAAAGAACTCAAAATGATAATAATATCTTATCGAAATAATTAATTCACTTGATACAGAATAATGAGTCGTCACAGTTTGTGCGTCAATATATACGCAGTTCTTGTTTTGCTTTCAGGCCGGCGACTAGACACTAAATAAACAAATACGTTTCATTCAGTTTTTTATTTGTTCTGAAGGTTCCAATGTTTTGAACAGTTGGATAGAGTTCACGTTACGTTACGGTGTCGATATATGGTTTTTTTATCGTAACAAGAACCTTTTTGCATATTAAATTAGTGCTACGAAAACAAAATTGTTTGGAATAATTCGATATGATGGTGTATGAAATTTACATATTTTATTTTTCGAAGATTCTTAAAATGAAAAGGTTTCAACGAATTCATTGCATGAAATATTTGGTACTTATGCTGTGGTTCTTTTGCTTTTAATCATTAAATGACTCCTTGGAATTGGAACAAAAATCAAGAAAAAACTACATTAATATTTTGGGCGAAAAAACATGAGAATTCTTAAGTGAAATGGAAATATCTATCGGAAATAAAGAAGGGTTCTTTTTTCATTAAATTAAATGCTTTCATTTTAAGCAAACGAGACATTGGTTTCATTTTGAAAAATAACTCACAACCAATCGGTTGCGCAATACATTCCTTTAGTTTTATATCCCTAAAGCGATTAAATTCGATAGAGAAAGAATTGACTAGAGAAAAGCAAACAGTAAAATTGTTCAATAGTAGGGATGTTTTCGCGTATTGTTTCATTTTCAATTGATTTACTGCGAAACGTGGCAATTTGGGAGCAATCAAATGAAAAGTTTGTGCCATCGCAAGTGTTCGGTGTATACCGATTTGTCGTTCGTTTTATGTTCGTGTATGTTGCAACTGTATGCGAAACAGTCCATTTAAAAACGTACGAAACATTTGAAGTATGAAATTGTGTGCACCCGTAAATTTGGCACCAATTCTAATAATTTTGACATTTTTTAAAGATATTTTGCGATAATTTTTCGATAGCAACGAGCATTGGTAATATTTCGTTTAAAATGTTCACCATTTATACGAAAATTGATGACATTTATGAATTCAAAAATAATATGGATGCGAATATTTTTCAACCGCGTGACAGAAAGGAGCAAAAGTAATAAAATTTATTTATACATTTGTATTTTAATGTTCTCTGAATAAAAAAATACAATTTTTTACAGAATTTTGAAAATAACCGAAAATTTTACAAAAATCGTCAATCGTTTTTGGTTTTATTCCATAACATGTACGTCATTTATGGCACCAGTTGTTCCATTATTTCAAATGAAACGCACTTTTCCATTACATTTTTGGTAATTATTATCAATTGTTTCGTCCCAAAATAATTTAATTTCAAATAATTTCGTTATAAGGTACCCATTTTCGTTGGACATGGAAAACAATTATATTTTTTATTCATTTTACATTCATCAGTCACTTGCAAGTATTTTGCTTGGACAAGTTGCGGCAGCTGCGGATACATTCATTTTTTCATCGCTTTTGTATTTTAACTATCAATTGAAATTGCTTGGCTATCGATTTTCAAAATGCGGACACGATATACAAATGTCGGATAATGCAAAGTACAAACAGTTTGTTGATTGTATTAAAATGCATTTAGCAATCATTGAGTATGTTATTGATTGATTGATGCAAAAAAAAATTATATTAAATGGAAAATTGTTTTGTTTTTAGGTCGTTTAAAAAATTTCATAAAATTTTCAATCGTGTATTTTTCATACAAATTTCCCAATCGGTATTAGTTTATTCAATGTTAACAGTATTAATAGCATCAATCGATGTGGTGTCTACACCTTTCCTCTCAAAATTTTGCCATTTAGCTGTGATGATCTTTGAAATGGGTGTGCTTTGCCATTTTAGCAACGAAATCTTACATTCGGTTTGTTTGAACATTTTGATGGAATATTTCTATTTTCGTTTAATTTGATAAAATGTAAGTCAGGCGATAACTTTTGTTTCTCCTTATCGTTTTTATAGTCGCAAATGCTTTCACTTAACGCATATTTTAGCAACTTTACTATGTGCGATAATCGTACACGTCGAACACTTACAATGTTCATACGAACAGCGAATCATCAACCAATTGCTGTTAATGCGAACGGAGTTATTAAATTCGTTCTAAATTTGCAACTTTTCTTTACAGTCGGAAACTTTTTCTTATGATAGATTTAAATCCCACTCTTTTAGATGCAATTTTAAATCAAATTTACGACCTTTATTTTATTGCAGATTTTACGGGCCACGTATTCGTATGCAATTTTGATATTCAACTTTAAATGAATAAATACCAAAAAAAGCTATATTTATTTTTGGAATTCATGAAAATTCATAAATTTTACGTTTAGCGGAAATAATTTTGGCACAACAATAGATATGGAAACTGGCTTCTTTTGACTGCACGAGGACGGATTAAAAAAAAACATCAATCAATATTGATTTGAATAAATTTGATGGAAATAAAATCACAAAATTTTATTATTAGAAAAGCAAACCCAAAATTCGATAATTTATCATCAATCAATGTTATTCATCATCTGATACATAATTAGGTAGCTCATCAGACATATCAATAAATATAATCAGCATTAGGGATGTTCGAATAGGTTGTATCGAATTTGAACGAAACATACCACATATTGTATTTATTAATTTGAGCAACATATTAGAACAGCTAGCTTTTGGCATCAACTGAATTGCGGGAAAAACTCGCGTGAATAATAAAATTAATTTCGATGATGTCATAAAATGATTCTTATCAAAATCAAATCGCCAAAAACAGTACATCAATGTAAATAGTGTTGTAAAATTGTTGTTAAGCGCAAATCAATCAATCGCTACAAATGTCATTGTGTCCCAGGTGAACAGAAAAAAAGGTGAGCTACCCATATATATAAGCGATTATGCCAACAAACCATTTCGAATAGAAGCCGAAACAATACTCGTGCAAAATTTTCATGACAAAAACGATGAACCAACACGAATACTTCAAACGAAAAAGTATAGCAAACGAATGCCAACAAAAAGTGTGCATCGAACGCAGAGAAAAAAAAATCCATAACACGTGCCGTCGTTTTGTAGAGGAAAAAAAATATGGTTGGTGAGACATTATAAGCGTATGGCATGTGCATTTATACTCTCCGCGTTTTATTTTCTCTTTCTATTTCTTTTATTTTTATTTCTCTCGCTGTTTGTATCACCTACTCAATGCTATATGCTTTGGGTTCGCACACATACAAGACTGTGCTCATCATACAGCCTCTATCGTCACAAGCGGCACGCTTGTGCTTGGGCTATCTTGGCAATTCAATTGTAAATCGCGCGTTTACTTGCGCGTTTTATGACTATATCAATTGTTATAGTGTCGGTTTTGATGAAATAGCGTTTCGTGTGAAAACTTCCAATCCTCATAAATGGCATGTGTGTTCTAGATTTAATCTACTTGTACTATATAAATGATAGAGTTATTTTTTCATTACGACTACTGTGTTTTTGTCGCTGCCGCAGTGCTGTCGAGGCGCGTGTGTTAATTGTAAACAACAAAACTAAATTTCAAAATCCACACGTTAACTGTTTAGCGAAGCCTTTAGCCTTTGACTGAATACACTTCTCTATGACTATGTCTATGTTACGATGTACGTGGCTTTATTAAGCTACCTTGCAATCTGTAGACGCGTGCAATGCCATTCGAAAGCGAAAGTATTGCATAATACCAACGTGCAGTTCAGCTCATAAGCATTGAACGTGTATAATTGATTGCATTTGGAATCGAATGAAATTTATATTCTATATTTAGTTTTCTCAAACAATGATAGCAGCAAAAGAAAAAAATTGGCGAAAATTTGTCAAACTGTTTATACACAGAAATGTACAGTTTTTTTTTATTTATAGATTCAAAAGATACTTACGTTGTTTTAAACTGAAAATGCGGGTTATTGACACAATGTGAAAAATTACAATGTTTTGCCTGATGAAACTAAATTCTCGTCTTCTTTTTTGTTTTTTTTTATATTATTGGCTCTGGCGATGCCACAAATTTAACACACGATACTCTTACAATATGACTTTAAAAAAAAATGTTTACACACATTTACAGGCAGCCAAAATAAAGTCTCACTACTTAAGTCGAATCGTTTATTGTCTCTCTTTTGTTCTCAGAATTTCTTTCTGGATTTTTGTTTCGGTTCTTTTTGCCTTTGCAAAACTTTTTCGAAAGTTCAATGAATTGCGATGACACCAATTCGTGTTTGGCTTTCTTTTTAGCGATAATGATGAGAAATTCTGAGTAAAACGATATTGTATTGTCAATGTTCGATTTGCAAGTGTTATTTTTTATTTGTTTGGAATCAAGTCTAATTTAAAATTCAATTTCAGAAACGTTTTGAAAAAAATTGGGGTTTTTAAAAAGCAAACGAAAATAGAACCTCTCGTGAACACTGTCGTCAATCGACTGAACTCAACATACAAACCGCATAAATATAGTGAAATTCGCCAGCGAAATCGCTTCAACGTTGCGGAGCCTCTACGGTAAGCGAAAGGGGAATCGATGCGTTTTAATGAAAACAACATATATTTTTGTTGTCTTTGGAGAAATGTTACCTATTGAAATAACGATCTAAAAGTGGTGCATGTAAGCTCATGAAATCTTCGATTTCTTTCCTTGTACATTGATTTTGGAATTATTTTCTGGTTTTTTAATTTAAAAAAACTTCGGGAAAATAAACAATGTTCCACACCTGTGGAAGCCAGATTGGAAATGACCAAAACAAATTTAGGGCCGAAGGCGACGCAATACTTTTTTGAACACAAACAATATTTTTATATTACAATAGTAATATATTTTTTGGCCTCGAATTTTCGGTGCTCATTTGAATATTCAGCCCAGATCAGTCGTTGGCCAATTTGCAATCTCTGAGTAGCAGAGATAGCTAATATCTCCAAATATCGTTTATTGCTAAAAAAACGTTGACACGCTTGATGTCACGTTTCAAAGCTTACACGCTTCTTTATTTGGTATATTTTTAAGATGTTTTTTTTTTGTGTTTAAAAATGATAAGTGTGTTCGCTTTGCGCACACGCTTGAATTATCATATCTTATCGTCCGCAATAAATGGAATGACGAATAATTTTTTGATTTGTGGCACATATACATAAAATCATTTAATTATGATCTCTCACCTCTTACATGTGAAATTTCACGTAGCCAAATCGTAACGATGCCGCATCAATGACAATGCGCACTTGACGGGGAAGAACCATATGATTCATATCATCCAACTAAAATCCGTTGGTGTACGAATTGATTATGGTTAAGGGGAAATCAGCTGTATCGTGTAAACCGTTTAAGCCTCTGTGTGTGTCCAATTTTCGTTGAATTCACCAATTGATCGCAACATGTGTGCTATACAAATATTTGTGCTTTCTTTCTTTTCTCGATTCGATTTTATTTACTGTTTACTGTATTAAATTACTGTTTTTCAAGTGATAACACTTCCAAAAGTTAGTTCTTTTGATATTAAAAAAATGTAGACCATTTTTTTGACATTTTTTTAAATACATGAACACATTCAGATTTGATTGAAAACGGGTTCTTATGTTAGAAAAATGTACTTTTAGAGGCTGTATTTGAACGAAAATTATAGACTTGAATCAAAATAGCGTTTCATTTGCGAAAACCAACAAATAAAATGATTCAATTGACATGATCAATATTTGCTGTGAGTCTTAATAAAATGAGTCGTATTCAATTGCAATACAAGAGTCACAGCAAAGGTGTTTCAGAATAGATAAGCAGGCGCATACATTTTCGAAGATATATCGTTCGACTGGTTGTCTAGTTTGGAATTCAAATTAAAAGTAAATTAAGAAAATCAAATGTAAGTTTGATTTAAAATGTATCTAGAATGTAAAGTAAGCCACGTTTGAACGAAACGACCTTGCAAGCGCTGCACACAAGTTGTCTTTTTTGCATTTATGACCATGTTTAGGAAATCGCATTATTTACCGTTTGCATTTTAATGTGTTTTAATTTGTGCAGACATGAAGTTCCGTTGTAACCTCATTGAGTGGAAACGTCAATTGGGTGCGCTTGTTAGCATCAAATGTCTTGATATGTTCATTTACACTTAATTTACTCCTTTTGCGCTAACCTCAAGTAAATTACACATGTTTGGCTATGTATTGACAACATTTTCGCAATTTTCGTGTTGTTATTTTGAGGTCTGTTGGATTTTGATTTCTATATATTGATTATCTGCACTAATTTTGGTGCTGATAAATTGGCCTACGTGCAAGATATTGCCCAATACACATGTGTACAAGGCACACTCATTTTCAATATTTTTTGGTATGCTTGACACTTTGCTTGTCTTCAAAATACACATAACATTTACGCCTATTGAGATTCCATTGAAAATGAGTGAATAGACGAGTGTCGATTTTGTTCGACTTGTATGTGATACGAAGAGGAACGAATCACCTACTTTACAATAAATGTATTATTTTATACTTTGGTTTTACATAATTGTCGAAGCGATAAAAATATAACTGTTCATTAAATCTCGATTTTGTAATCATTTAATTTTCAGAAAACTCCCATAAATAATTTTAATTTCCGCTAAATTGATATGATCTTTATATTTGCTTTGTTGGTCATTTGTTCGGAAAATTTAATATTCAGACTGTGGAATGTGTAATGAAATGAAACAAGACGAAATTCATCTATTGATCAAAAATCAAAATACCCGAAAAGTGCGAGAATGATCACGAATATTCGCAGACACAGACTCATTTACGCGGATAACAAAAAAATGCGTTAAAATTGCATTGAGAAGTGTGGTCAAAATTGGATACATTTATTGTTATTGCCTTTTATGCGATGGCGATTATCCAACCGATTTTTTCGTCGACACCAATGCATGTACCATAGAGGCTTAAAATGTTATTATTTCGTAGCTAATTTTCGACGTATTTCCAAAACGAAATTCAGTCATAATCGTCTGTCAAGCGAAAACACTCTCTCACATACACACATACGCAAACGCGTGCTTATTTACCAATATTGATGGAAATACATTGAGAAAAGACACGAAGTTGCGTTCAAGCAATGCCAAGCCGCCATACGGTCGGTCACTTTCATGGTTTTAAAGCAACACAACTTATTTTTTTGAATGTACTGCTACAGTAGCTAGTCATTCTTGCATCAATTTAACCGAGAAGCTGGCTTTTTTATTTTGACGCGATTAATTGTGACTTAGTCGTTGGCGCGTTCAGTTTGATTGTTTTGACTATGGCTCAGAAATAAAACAAAGTAAAGACTAAAGATCAGTAAAGAATTCTCAAAAACAGTGATTCTAATCTAAGAATAAAGTGGCTCAAAAATTCAAAAGTTAAAAAATTCCCTCGCTTGAATTCATTGAAGTAATTCCTTCAATTAAAAACCGTTGACCTTGAATTGAATCATCTTAGTTGGAAATTCTATTAAAAAAATGATCCATTAGGAGATATATGACATTTTTTTAGATTCAAACGAGAACAATTAAATATTTGCAAAAAAAAATTGCGTTAACCTTGAATTCTGTCGAAAAAGAATTGCCAATATTTTTGGTGTGAAAAAGTTTTAATTTGTGGTGTGATTTCCGCCATTCGAGGTGTTATTTTTTCAATTTATCAATGCAAAAAAGTGTCATCCAATCCATAATGTAACTGAATAGCTCATGTGAATTTTTTATGGAATGTGCTAAAGCTTATTCTGACGAATTGACGGCGTCACTTTACGTAAACCATCAATTTACATCTTGAGTTATCGATCGTTGGCAAAGACAATAAACAGTTTTAACATCGCAAAGACCAGAACATAATTATACCAACCATTTATTAGTGATTTTTAGATTAACGCAATAATTTCAATTGCATCTACAATTAGAAACCACTTCAATCATTTTCCAATTTGAATTGCATTTCTTATTCATAAAGACAATTGAATAATTGTAGAATTAAATCACGAAAATTATTTAATCACCGATCTGAAATATAAGATTTTTAATGATTATTGACCTCTTCAGAAATCATTTGAGATTGAAAATGTCTTTTTTGTTATCATTGTGCGAAAAAACACAGGTTATCGAAGTTGAAAAAAAAGAAATAATATAGTTCTACATTTCATCATTTTTTTTTATTTCAAATTTTTTTAAGAACTTTGAAATTAATGCATTTGGAACGAACTTTTTAGATTATATTTTTTTTATTGAATGGAGAAAGAGTCATAATCAAGATTCAGAAAAAAGTGAAAATAAACTTGATAATTATTTTAATCTCATGGTTCTTATACATTTGTCACGAAGTGGTAGAATATAATATGTCATTGACGTCAGCGATCTGATCATTAACTTCTTAAAAATGAAAAACTTTCTAACCTAGGGGGTAACCACGCTTTTTTATACACCAACATTTAACTTTATTCTTAAAATCTGATTAAAACTTAAAACTCAAATATCTCAAAGTATTCATTTATAACTCACAATATCTCAAAGTATTCAATTCTGGAAGTTGGTTTTGGTGGATCCTCAGGATCATCAGAACGCTCCCAGTTCTGGAAGTGGACTCTCAGGATGGGCCAGGGCATTGTCAAACCATAGTCTGGTCCATCCTGAGGATCCACCAAAACCCACATCCAGAATTATTTTTAGATCAGAATATCTGACAATATCTCCCAAAAATGTAAATTTGCGTTCATATCTCTCGATAGCTCTTGAATTCGTTGAAATCTCCTGAATTTGTTCATATTTCTATAATTTTATAATTCTATATTTAAAAGCGCGGTTACCCCCTAGTTTTTAACAGTATTAAATTTGGTTCTAATCAACATTGCCTCGAGGCAGCTCTTCAACCATGTCGTTGTTCATGATTCTTGAAATGATGCAATAAATTTAATTGCAAAATAGTGGTCAAGCATATTCACTTGAATGATGTAAATCATTTTTGAAGCCAAACAAAGAATTCTCACGACATTACCAAAATTGTTGGGCTTTGAAGTGCGGCATGGCTCATTTCGTGTGATGTTTTCTGAAAATTGATGAGAAAAAAAAAATAATAATTCTTCACTTGACTTCACCTTAGATGAATATTTATTTACTCGTTTTTTTTGCTCTGCTTGAATGACATTTGAATAATTTATGAGAGATTTGGCAAGCCAAACATTGAACTTGTCCGAAAGTGACATGACCGCTACTTGCAATAAATCGTAATATTTCGCAGTATCTCAGCAGATGATTTGTATTTTTATTGCAGTCCGGTTCAATCAATTTGATTTTGCATTTGCTGATTCATTCGGTGAATGTGATTTAATTTGTTAAAATAATGATTTTAATGGCGTGAAAACATCATTATAAATAAACAATATTAACAACACAATCAATGGCGCACAGCAAAAATTAACAACATTGATCAAATTGTAAGTGTGTCTTTTATGTTTATAAATCACATGCCTGCGCTCAATGTCGTCAATTCGTTTACCAACTCAAGAATGTGATAAAAGGTGATTACAGTATTCAAACAAGCACATTAAAAAAAATGGTGGGCAATTTTTTAAATCGGCCTGTTTATTCGAAAGTGAATGAAGTCAAGCGTTCACACGTTGTCGCATGTCACTTTGTCAAGCGCCAAGCATCAATGTGCGCTTAAAATAGGCTTTTCAAATCACTCGAATCATACACGAGTGCACCGTATTCTCAGTTATTTCGTATTTAGTTTGGCAAATGCATTTAAACTTTATAAATAATTTCATACACGATCCAATGGCATTGGAATGACTCTTTTATTTTTACCTGCATACTGTACATAAGACGGTTTCAGTATCGATTATAAAGCCAGCATATGGAGACAACGACTCAAGAATTAATAATAAATGCACAGAAACGATTTTAGAATCATCTTAGCATGAATTTGGAATTGACTCGTGTGTAGAATTCATTTTAACATCGAATAAAACTGAATCGTGACTAGAATTGAAATTTTTTTTATAATATCGACTTCGGTCAGAACAACCGAATTCATGAAAATGTCGATTGAATAAGTCAAGGTGTTCTGCTTTTTTCGACTGAATTGCGTGGAACTGGACAGCGGTGCACGCAAATTGCTCTTGGCCATCATGAAATGTACAAGTAATATTCATCATTTTGAGTCCAATTCACATGGAGATGATACTACCACTCGCAATTTAATGATTTACCACATTTTAATTGTGCATTTCGATACTGTCGCTTTCGTTTCGAGAGAAATGAAAACTGTTGCGTCTGTTTGGTGCCAGTTACACCATGAACCGGACTATAAAATCGAAGATGATATTGAAATAGGGTGAAAGAGGGACGAGAAATTTGTTTGAACATTTCAACGGTTGAGTTATGAATGAATAAACGGTAGTTTTTGTTTTTGACAGTAGTTTTTCGCGTTCGATTACGTCAAGGTCGTTTTAACTAACTCTTGCTGAAAACTGAATATGATCAACTGAAACACGGTGTTTTATGGTTGAAATTACGACGTTGACATTTCTCCGGTGTAAAAATATTCCGGCATATCTTAAGCATCGTAATATTTGTAAATTTTGTAGGTTGTTTAAGGCGAGGTAATTGTTGTTGTCCATTATGCTTTTTATAACATTTTTTCATTCGCCAGGAAAAAAAGAAACAAACTAAATATTAATGCTAAAATGCAAGAAACTGGATTTAAAAAAATTCAAGTTCAAATCTCGACTTTATTTCCAGTGCGTAAATGACGTTCACTTTGAAACAATTGCCATTGACCATAAGTCATGGCTGAAGAAAAAAAGATCTATGGATCTTCGATTTTATGTAAGCCGTCAAGAGATCAAACCGCACTGTACGCAATAAATTAAATATTATGCATACAATAAATTACGAGTTTATATCGAATTTCAACCAAATTGCACACATTAAATAACAGTGTGATGTCAATTGAATGCAATAAAGAGAAGATGAAGAGAGATGCAGAAATAAAAACAATGCACACAACTGCCGACATGTGCCGATCAAGTTTTTGACTTGCAAAAAAAAACCTGTTTCGAATTTTAAAAAAATGCATGAGCAGACTTCAATATTAGTATTACCACACTACGGAACGGCAGTGTACTTGCACCAAATATGAATCGATATGAACTTCAAAATATCATCTATATTTAAATTCGAATTCTATTGACTCTTGACAAATTAAGTGTATTTGAAAAAGCTCTATGACCCAAATGTCAGCTCTATCAACAATTTTCACGATAAAACGAAGACAGTAATCACGCACAAGTGCATACAGTAATACATGTTGAAAAAATTGTTCGTGGTTTTGCATAATCAATTCTCGGACACATGGAAGATGTGATTGCAGCGATTTTTTTTCTATAAATCGTTCGACTCATATTGATGTTAAGGCTATCAACTTTGCGAAATGCGAACGCGCACCGTTCGAACAACGATAGTGAAATTGACACGAGAACCGCATGATATGTCTTTTTTTTCACTTTTTGCGTTTCTTGTTTTCTTTTGCGAGTTATATTTGTGCGTTGAGCAATGTACTACTCGGAATCATTATATACCATATTCACTCTTTTGGATGCATTCTCCGGTCAATGATAAGGCGTATTTTATTTATATATATTTCTAACAGTTTCAGTTGTAAAGTAAAACTGGTAGTCGTGCCATTTATTTACAAACACAAATTACGAAGTTGCGTGCCTACCGGTTACTATTTTATTGACATTAATATGCACTGACCATAATTCTACGCAACAAATTAAATAAGATAATAATGTCATTAGAAAATGCGAATGTGCCAGTTCAGACAGATCAAAAGAAGAAGAAGACAAGAAACTGACACAAAGGAGGAAATAAATGTCAAGTTGATGCAATAATTACTAAAATTTCACATTGCAGACTTACACAACATCAATGCGGTAACAATAAACAATGCAGTTTATCCGTGGCTTTTGGAATATTCTCATATACTTGCTTGTATGCATTTGCGTGAAACAATATGGTGCCGTGACAGCGATACGTTTGCCAATACTGGATTTGGTTTATCAGAGAATGAATAACTTCAGTGATAGCATTCGTGATACGAATCATTTTTTTGATGCGTACGATTTTGTGGTTATTGGTTCTGGATCTGGTAGGCAGTATTAATATTTAAATAATTTGGGTTAGAGATATTAATTCTTTTGACTATTTTTCAGGCGGTGAGTGATATCAGAGAAATAAATATCGACAAAATTGTTAAATATATTCATTGGATAGGTTCGGTTGTGGCCAATCGATTGAGTGAGTTACCAAACTTTAGTGTTCTAATACTAGAAGCTGGAGGGGAGGAGAATTTTTTATCAGACGTACCATTGACACCGTCCGTGACACAAATGACAAGTAAGATTATTCAAACCCGCAGAAAATTGAATTGTATTCAAGTTCATTTTCCTAAGCCAGAATTCAATTGGGGATATAAAACCGATCCGGTACATGGAGCTTGCTTGGGTCTAAGAGGTGGTGTTTGTAATTGGCCGAAGGGAAAGGCGCTAGGCGGAACAAGTGTTATAAATTTTATGCTCTATCAACGAGGACATCGTCGTGATTTTGATGGTTGGGCTGAAAATGGGAATATTGGTGGGAACATTTTTTTTTAGATCAAATTCTATAGATTATGTAGATCTTTGCGAGAATATAAAAAATGATTTAAATTAAAGGTTGGAGTTATGATGAGGTTTTGCCATATTTTAAAAAGTCGGAAAGAATTGGAATTCCAACACTTTACAATTCACCATACCATGGCCGTGATGGGTACTTGAATGTGCAGCAAGCAGGTTTTCGAACAAAAGTCTTGGAAACATTTCTACAATCAGCCAAAGAATATGGATACAATGTAAATGATCCAAATGGTGAAAGTTTATTGGGATTTTCACAAGCTCAGGCAAATACACGCAATGGACGTCGCTGGAGTGCGGCCAAAGGTAAAACAATAAATCGAATAAATAATCATTTCTGATAAGTTTTCTTTGTTTCTCTAAAGCATTTCTTCGGTCAGCTCAATATCGACCAAATTTATTTATTTCGATGCATTCACGAGTCACAAAAATTTTAATCGATCCAAAATCTAAAGTCGCCTATGGTGTCGAATTTTTAAAACATCGTCAACGATACCGAATATTTGCACGAAAAGAAATAATTTTATCAGCGGGCCCAATTGCATCACCGCAACTACTCATGCTTTCGGGAGTCGGACCGCGTGAACATTTAGAAGAGATGAAAATACCAGTTTTACAAGATTTGAGAGTCGGTTTCAATTTGCAAGATCACAGTGTTGTTAACGGATTGGACTTCACGGTCAATCAACCGATAACAATGAGCGAATCATCAGTGCAAAAGCCAAGATATATGCTAGATTATTTTCTAAAGGGTAGTGGACCATTCACTATACGTAAGTTGGTTCGTGCAACACGCATATATATAATATTAATTGGGTTTAATTAAATAAATAACTTTTTTTCAGCCGGCGGCGCAGAGGGCCTTGCCTTTATAAAGACATCAAATTCAAGTTTTGGTAATTAATCCATAATTGGACAATTTTTTTTCGATTAACAATTAAATTAAATTAAAATTAAAAAAATTTTTGTTGAATTATCAAATTTAGTATTTGATTATCCCGATATTGAGATCGTGGCCGGTAAGTACTGTAAAATAAATATCCAAGCGCGGTTAATTTAAATTAATTAATTCTCTTGAATTTGGAAAAAAAAGGAGCTGGTGGCTTATCTGGTGATATATCGGGTGCAATGCGAAATATGGTGGGAATAACTGATGAATTTTATCACACTGTTTATTCGCACATCATTGGCAAGGTGAAAAACAACTTTAAATTTGTTAATGACACCAAAGATCAAAGCAATTCTTTGAATTTCAGCCAGCTTTTGGTTTGGTTCCGGTACTGCTGAGGCCATTTTCACGCGGTAGAATTATGTTGAAGAGTCGAAATCCATTCCATTGGCCAAGAATGCTGCCAAATTTTTTCTCAGACCAACGAGATGTTGAAACTTTGATTAAAGGTGTACGATCGGTAAATAGAGAACAGTCTGACTGCGATATTTTACTTAAACTAACTTAAATGTTTTATGATTTCCATTGACTTCAAAGTGTCTTAACATAGCGAATACAAAGGCCTTTGCGAAATGGAACACAAAATTCAACACACGACCATTCCTGGGATGTGAGCACTTGGAATACAATTCGGATTCATATTGGGAATGTTGTATTCGACGCCATGCAGGGAGTCTTCAACATCAAGTAAGATTCACGGAATACTTTCGATTTTATCGATTTGAGAAGCAATTTGCATTGATTGGAATTCCATGTTATTAATTTCATCTGAAGGTTGGCACGTGTAAAATGGGGCCTTCAAGTGATCCGACTGCAGTCGTAAATCCAAGTCTTCAAGTCTATGGCATCAGAAACTTACGTGTCGTGGACTCATCAATTATGCCGCAAATTGTAGCCGGTCATACAAATGCGGCAACATATATGATTGGAGAAAAAGCATCCGATATGATTAAAGAAACGTGGTTGAACAGTGTATTTAAATAGTGAAATAATTTTGTGTGTTTCAAATCAAAAACATTCATCACCTAGTCATTTCGAATAATGTTGAATAAAAGCTAGTTTTATGCAAATAAAATTTACGGCAAAATGTGTGAATTTTATGTCTATCGCAAATGTGACGTTTATGCAAATAATTTACATTTTGATACATGAATGAAATAAGTTGAATGACTGTTAGAAAAAATAATACACTGCCAGTTTTTGGCCGTAGAGCTTAATGTGAAACGTGGAACCGTACTACTAAGAAAAACAAACTACTCGACATTCATATTTTGAATTTTTTGCCACAATTTTTTTAAAATAAATTACACCTTGAAAATTGATTTTGCCAATATTTTCACTAATTTGGCCTCAAACAGCCACCTGGGAAACACATTCACAAGTTTGATTGGCTAATAAGCTGTATACCGTTGGAAAGAGGGCTTCAAGAGCTATCATCTGGCAAAGTTTCATCAAAATCATAGAACTAGGTTGCTTGCAATGAAATTCGGAAGCCGATTTTTCTCACAATTTTTCATATTTCGGCCAAACGGCCAGCGTAAAACGCCATCAAACCTGCCGGAAACTCCATAATTTATATACTATTCGAAAGGTAATTTTATAAGGAATCTAAAACAATTTGGTACCTCGGGTGTCTCCAACTTTTTTTCAACAAGTTTCATCTAGATCCAAAGTAATCAAATTAACACTGAAGTAAAACTCATTTATTCCATCTTTTATCCACCCAATAAAGTTGCGGAGAAAAATAATTCCACCCGAATCCATTCGTTATCCACTCAATAAATGGTGAGTGGAATCGAAATATTTTTCAAAGTGGAATCCAAAAAAGAGGGTCCATGAATGAAAAAATTAAATGGGGAGCACTTATGGGGAAAATAAAAAATACGTCTGGAGGGTTTTTCATGCCCTATCGAATGCCGAAAACCCGAACTCTCTATCTTTTCTGATTTTCTCTAAAATCACTGAACAAACATATATAATATATATATATATATATATATATATATATCTTACTATTCCATAGCTTAATGTATAAAACTACGTTTCACATTAAGCAATAAAGTCCATTAAGGTTGATTAAGTCATTTTATGAGCTAAGAAGAAATCTCTTCACCGATAAAAAAACAAAAAGTTGATATTGAATCGTGAGGCGATCAACATTTTGTGGCTACCGTATCATATGGGTTATGGCTGTCTATATTCCGTTCGAATAAGTTAATCTATTCTGATTTACAAATATACTGATATAAGTAGGCAATTTTAAGTTGGCTGGAAACATTAATTTTGCTCGTAAATTCGTCTTTTTTATGTCGTCACTAAAAAAAAATAACAATTCGGAATTGTTCGATCGAGAGGACAGTTCATCAAGGTTAATTTCAAACCGATTACACGTCGAAAACATGCATATTTTGAATTTCATTGTAGTATTACAAAAGATCATGGCTTGCGATTTTTTTGATTGTTTAACCAAAATCTATTCTTACAAAATCAACAATTGTGCAAATAATTCAATAAAACTCGATCACTTCTTGAGTAGAAAGTCTAATTATTGTTGCTTTTGGTATTTTTTTTATTATAATATAATCGTATCTCCAATTAATTTATTTATAATAATTTACAAACAGTAACAATATGAACACGTTCTAAAAGAAACATCGTCGTCTATGCATTATGAAAAATATATATTATAACGTTTTTTTTTTTTTCAGCAATTGCTAACATTCATAACGGATAAATGGAAAAGAAAATCATATTTGGCGTGTAAATGAAATCAGTCGTTTGGAACCAGCGATATGGCTGTGCATATTTTTCTCTTTTGCAAAGACTTGATTGCTACGACCATTTCTCATGCGTTAAATGTGCTATAGTTTAAAAAAAAAACACTATGATCGATCGTAAAAATGAACGAAATTATTTTTACAAATGATTAATTCTAAGCCATGCGTTAGCACTTCGATTGAATAATATCAATCACGACCATGTATCTTTCACCATATCAGCCGCTTTTTCGCCAATCATAAATACAACCGCATTGGTGTGCGCGGCTGGAATGTCTGGCACTGAAATTAAACAATTTGTATTGTAATGTTTTTATTGTGATTTAATTGAATTGCTCAATAAATTAACTCACTAATTGAGGCATCAACAACACGCAAACGATCGATACCATAGACTTGTAACTGAGGATTGACTACGGCATTTGCATCGGTTGAAGGTCCCATTTTACACGTACCAACCTTGTAAACAACACACATTTGTGATTGACACTATTTTATCTGTGGTAAATTTCATGTAAACGTCTACCTGATGCTGTAAACTTGAAGTGTATCCAGTTATGCAGCATTTCCAATAGTCATTTGAACCAAATTCGTATTTTTCACAACCCAAATATGGTCGACGATTTAATTGGCTGTTGTATTGTTGAAAACTTGCAGATTCGCCCAATTTTTGCGCAAATTTCGCTCCTTCAACTAGAGTATTGAGATCGTCGGGATGATCCAAATAATTGGGTTCCATTTTTGGCCATTGGAATGGATTCTTGCTTTTCAAGCGGAGTCGTCCACGACTTTTCGGACGCATTATTATTGGGACTAAGCTAAACGCATTTTTTCCCATTATGTCAGCGTACACTTCTTTAACGAAATTTTTTGGAATGCCCAACATATTCGCCATTGAACCACTCATATCACCGTTCAAAGCTCCAGCGCCTAGTACCTTCAACAAAATCAAGTGTTGATTTTAATAAGTATGGCATTTAACTGATCAATAGAAAAACCATATTTTGAATAAGAAACCCTTACCAATTCAATATCGGGGTAATTTTTTGCTAAAATTTAATTGATCGTAAACGAAATAATTTTATCAACTATTATGTGCGCATTAAAAAAACTATATTACCCAATGTAGAATTTGGTGTTTTAACAAATGCAAGACCCTCTGCGCCGCCTGGTAAAAATAAAATTAAAATTGCATTTAATGAAGTGCTCGAAAATGGTTTGTATCATTGAATTTCGTTGATAGATTGAATGAAATTTGAATTCCTTTTCTCTTTCACGAAAAATCCGACCAAATCAACCTTACCGGGAAGCGTAAATGGACCTGAAATACAAAAATAGTCTCCATTTAAAATCAAAGTATTCACGTTAAAAGATGGTGATTCCGACATTTACCTCTTCCAAGAATGTAATAGCTAAAAATTGCACTAATGCTTTGAACGCTGTTTTCGCTGATTGTAATTGGTTCATTGACCTCAAAAGCCAAACCGGACAAACCCACGTGATCCTGTAAATTGTAGCCAACTTTTAAGTTTTTAATGATTGGTATATGAAGATCGCGTAAATGTTTTGCTGGTCCAACTCCCGAAAGCATGAGTATTTGAGGCGATGCTATAGCTCCGGCCGATAGAATTACTTCTTTAGTAGCATTCACACGATATATTTGTCGATTTTTAATGAATTCAACACCATAAGCAACTTTTGTTTTAGGATCGATTAAAATACGGGTCACCCAACTGCGCATCGATACAAACAAATTTGCTCGTTTTTTAATTGGTCTCAAATATGCTTTGGCTGCACTCCAGCGACGTCCATTTCGAGTTGTTGCCTGAACTTGTGAAAATCCCAACATTTTCTCATCATTTGGATCATTTTCTTCGTAACCAAACTCTTTCCCGGCTTCCAGAAAAGCGTCCAATAATTTACTGTGATACGCAGGATGTTGAATGTCAACATTTCCTTTGCGTCCTCGATACTTTGATGTTTTAAATTCTTCGATGCCAATGCGTTCCATTTTCTTGAAATATGGCAGTACATCACGATAGCCCCAACCATCATTTCCAGCTCGAGCCCATCGATTATAATCTTCGGCATGACCACGATTGAATACCATGTAATTTATAACACTTGTCCCACCCAAAGCTCGACCCTTTGGCCAATAGCACACGCCACCACTCAAATGTAAACATGCATTCTTCGTTCGTTCTGTTCGATAGCCCCAATTGTGTCCTTAAATTTGACAAAAGAAAAATGCTTGAAAGCACTTTTTTCTAATTTAAAGAAAAATTTCAAACGTTTTGTACTTGTCAACACTGTCACCGCGGCTGTTAGTGGGACGTCAGTTAAAAAGTCTGATTCTTCGTCACCCACTTCCAAGAGTAATACTTTCCAGTTATGATTTTCACTAAGTCTATTCGCCATTACACAGCCACCTGAAGAAGAAAAAACCAGTTTGTTCAAGGATTTTTTCGGCAATTTTAACGAAAACTTGAAAATGGCCAACCTGATCCGGCGCCAATGATGATAAAGTCATATTGATGATTAAATTTTACTGTATCTGTAATTGGCGCTTGCATGAATTCAAACGAAAACTGACCACTGATTTCATTTGTTGCATTAAATATCAACAAAAGCACCAAAAATATAAAACGCACAGACATTTTTACGCGATATTTTTAATTTTCTTGTCGAACACTTTTAATTTAAAAGAATAAATTTCAAATACAACCGAAATTTTATCTGAAAAAAATAATGTAGGCAATAGCGTCCAGTCGCATTCACGTTCAATCACAAACTGTTGCATTTCAGGCTGCACAATTCACGACGGTCTTTTTACGTGCATTATTAATAAGAATTTAATTCATAAATGGCACATACGGTTACCATTCGCACAGTGCACTGATGTATGGCATTTTGATGTATGTACGAATGCAATGAACGCATGCATAAATGTGCAATGTATACATAGAAGTGGAAATTTCGTTTACATAAATAGTCGCGTGTATTTTTTTGTTTTTGTTTCAGAGGTATGTATGGCATGAAAATGAGAAAAAGAAAAAAAAACGTCGATTTATTAAGAACGTTAAATATGTGGAAGTGAGTGATATATCCATGCTTGTACATTTACAAGCATCATATGATCAAATTGATCAGACTCATTGGTATTGGTGCAATAGACCGGTTACATTGGCTGTACATCCATTTTTATCGTCTGGCATCAGTTTTGAAATAACATCAATGTTGTTCGGAAACACCACTTCAGCATAATGTGTCTGCTCATCAAGATATATGGGTTACAAATTATAGATTATTGTGATTGTGCCGCAAAAAAAATCACTCAATACAATAAATGAAGGAAATACATATGCAATGAGTGGCATATTAATACGTAGCGTAAAACAATCTGCATTATATTCACTTGCAGTTTATACTGAATCATCGATGTTATCATTGCATTAATGTAATCGATCTTATGTAGTCACATCGACAACAGCGCGATGATCATCAATCAATTAAATTTCTCAATGAATAAAGTTTTCACTTTTCCAACGACTACACGTATATGCGCGTTGTTGTTTTCTCTCTCGCATGTATGCATTCAGTTATCAGACCGTACGACAAAAGACAATGCAAGTGATCAAGTTACCGGCTTCACATCATTATTCAAATAACTTGTTTTCACAAATTATCTACAATAACATCAATTTGCATAACTTCACAGCTGCGACGCACATTTATCGACTATTTATGTTAATAATTTTGTCAAATTTTCATAATTTACGCGATATATAATTATGAAATTTTGTATTCAGTATTTAAGTACTTCCCTTCAGCCATGTGTGTATTTGCTATTTGTTTATCAATTGTCGACCTTCTTTGACCAATTTTGTGATTTTGTGCAGAATTGATGAGACCAAAAAATCAGGAAAAAGCAACTATATTGCATTAAAAACGAGCTATTTGTATATACAAATAAAGGTATTCAATTTCTTGCACAATTAAATCGCATAGTTGTGGTAAGAGATTAAAAATTCTTCACCATAATCAGTTTTGATTGATTCAAACCATGTTTGATCCATTTACTGAAGCGATTGGCTCATATGATCATGTACTTACCATTAACAAAACCAATTATTTCATTTCTTCTGCTACTTGATGGCAATATTTATACCTGAATTTACAATATAAATATCTCATGATAAAATACGCAAGAATCTCGGGGTAATTTTCAAATTTATTCTAAGACTGAATAGTCCATTGGATCACGAATTTTTTGATGAATAATGATAGATCATTTTATCGTTTAAAAATGATTTAACAAAAACATGATCAACCGTCTGTGCGCACACTACAAAAAGAAAACACAAGATGGAAATAAAGACAGCACACCGGTCAATAGCACATTGAATATGAAAACACATTCACAATTTAAATATGATTCAATTAGTTAGGAGTATCAGAACGAATTAGCAGCATTTTGTCTGAACATATGAATTTAAAAATAGCTTTCAACACAACAACATCTTCAGCAGCTATTTTCACAAAGGAAAACAATAAATTACCGATTCATTTTTTTTAGCAAGGTGATGTAGTTCCATGTTTATATTGAAGTTTTCATTATATAGGAAATAGCTTGAAGCACCAGAGGAGAATTGATCGAACGCAACAAAGAAGTTGGAAAAAGTGCATCGGTAAAACGTGCCCGCCGAAAATGGTCATTCCTTTGATTATAATGACATTTTTTTAACTCATTGCAACCATAAAGAAAAAAGTGTTTTAATTGAGGAAAATGCACATTAAGACAACTGCATCAACTAAAAATTGTGTGAATATTAGAAGTGTTGAGTGAAGTAATGTGAGCAATCTATTCAATAAGTATAAAAACAAAATTTAAAGCTTCGTTCATACGCATTTAAAGGTTCAATGTGTCTTTCACTGTAAACAATGTTTAATGACACTTGGCTTGTGACATTAAATTAAATAATAGTTTTACATTGTTTATATGTTTGATTCAACGTTTGTGATTTGTGGAATATTTTCTGTATATTTTGTGGAATGCTTTTGACATCAAATATCAATATTTATTGTGCTTTGATTTCTTCGAAGAAGTTTATTTGACGATTTTACACATTAAATGTAAATAAAATGTTTTAACAATTCACATTCAAAAGAAAATCACTTTTGGTGGAATGATATGCAATTCTTGTTTTTGCAAAGCACCGTGGGTAAAGTGTACACTGTACACATATGTTAACTAGATTATAAATTTTTATGTAATTTTAACCTTCAAGCGTCGTAATTCTCGCAAAATGCTATCTTATTTTCTAAAAATTTGCGGCCACTGGCAACTTCTTTGACATATGCTTATGTGAAAAGCATGAGTCAAAAAATCTTAGAAAATTTTGAACATGTTCAATTTAACCATGGCAATAAAACACCCAATGTCACCTTCTTCAATTCGAGAAAGTGGCATTAGCATATTAACCTTCACACATCTTTTTAATTCATAGTCAAGAACTTTACACAAAAATAATCTTGATGGTAGAAGTAATTTTGTTTGATAACGGATTATTTTGAAACATCATTATAAAAACAAGTCTTCCATTGTCTTTTGATTTATAAAAAAAATTGTTTTATTTTTTCCCAATTATTTCAGAATCACAAATGTTCTTAACATTTATGATGACCACATGTTTTTAATTAAATCAGCCGCCTTTTCGCCGATCATGAATACAACGGCATTTGTATGCGCGGCAGGAATTGTTGGAACTGAAAAGAATAATTGTTATTACATAAAACAACGTGGACTACTCACGTGGGGACCACTCACTGATAGATGCATCAACAACACGCAAACGATCAATGCCATAAAGTTGTAACTGTGGATTTACTACGGCATCAACATCGGTTGAAGGTCCCATTTTACATGTACCAACCTTCAAATGAAAAAGATAAGTTAGAATTGTAATCAATGCAATTTGTTTCTCGTGCATTTTTACTTGATGTTGTAAACTAAGTGTATAGCTTTTTATGCAACAACCCCAATAGTCGTTGGATCCAAATACATATTTTTCGCAGCCCGGAAAAGGTTGCCTATTTAATCTGCTGCCGTATTTTTGAAAACTCGTAGATTCACCTAACTTATGAACCTGTTGCAAAGAATGGTAAATTATCTTCAAGAATATTGTTTAAAAAAAAAAACCAATCGTACCAATTTGACTCCTTTAACAAGAGTATTTAAATCGTCAGAGTGGCTCAGGTAATTCGGTTCCATTTTTGGCGGTTGAAATGGGTTTTTGCTCTTCAAGCTAAGTCTGCCCCGACTTTTCGGCTGCAATAAAACTGGAATGAGGCTAAATGCCGGTAGCCCAACGATACCACGATAAACTTGTTCGGTGAATTTTTCCGGCATGCCAAATCCTCTTAGCATCGGCGCAGTAAATATACCATTTGCAGCCCCGGGTCCAAACACCTACAACACAATATACCAATTTAAGTCGCTTCAGCATACCAATTCATCTTCTAACTCACAATTTCAATATCGGGATAGTCATTTGCTGCAATCAAATAGCCCTTATGTCATGAAAAGATGCACACAAAAAAGAAATTAAACTGAAATACCTAATGTGGAGTTTGGTGTTTTAACAAATGCAAGACCTTCTGCGCCGCCTAGTACAAATAAAATTAAAATGTTGATAGATTTTAAAATGATTGAATTTTCTTTTTTAGTTATAAAAACAGGCAAAATCAACTTTACCGGGAAGCGTAAATGGACCAGAATGAAAAACGTAATATTTAAAAAATGCACTCAATCCGTCTGCGCTCGTTTCGCTCACTGTAATCGATTCATTCACAAGGAACGCTAGTCCATTTAAAATTATATGATCCTGTAAATTGTAACCCACGCGTAAGTCTTGTATAACTGGTATCTGAAGGGCGTTCAAATCTTTTGTCGGTCCGACTCCCGAAAGCATGAGTATTTGTGGCGATGCTATAACTCCAGCCGATAGAATTACTTCTTTAGTGGCGTTAATACGATATCGTTGTCGATCTTTCCAAAATTCAACGCCGTAAGCTACTTTTGTCTGTGGATCGATTAAAACACGGGTCACCCATGTGCGCGTCGACACAAATAAATTTTTCCGTTTCGCAACAGGTCTCAAATATGCTTTTGCCGCCGACCATCGCTTTCCATCCCGAGTTGTCGCTTGAACTTGCGAGAAGCCCAACATTTTGTCGCCATTTGGATCAGTTTCTTCATAGCCAAACTCTTTACCTGCATCAATAAATGCGTCCAAGAGCTTGCTACGATATGCAGGGTACTGAACATTAACATTCCCCTTTCGACCACGGTATTTCGATGATTTTAGCTCTTCGATATCGATTCGTTCCAATTTTCTGAAATAAGGTAAAACATCGCGATAGCTCCATCCATTATTACCAGCTGCAGCCCAACCATCGAAATCGCTTTTATGTCCTCGATTATAAACCATGAAATTAATAACACTGGTACCGCCTAACGCTTTTCCCTTCGGCCACTGGCAAACTCCACCATCCATAAGTAAGCATGCATTTTTCTCCTTTTCGGTTTGATATCGCCAATTATACTCTTAAAATGAATTGGATACGTTTGTATTTGTTACGAAAGTATTTTCATCGTGTGTCTTAATAGAAGTCCGTTTACTTGTAAACATTGCAGTGACTGCTGCCACCGGAATATCGGTGATCAATTCGGACTCTTTATCACCCACTTCCAAAAGTAACACTTTCCACTCGGGATTTTCACTGAGTCTATTTGCCAATACACAACCAGCTGCAGAAAAACAAAGGAAAAAATGTTATGCATAAAATGTTCGCGGCGAGTTTTACGAAAAAAATGGTCAACCTGAACCAGCTCCAACTATAATGAAAGAATATTGTTGATCAAAGAATACGGTGTCTTTAATGGTTCCATGATCAAATAAGAACTGAGCAATCGCATCACTTTCACAGAAAACACTCAACAAAAAGGCTAAAAAAGCCAAATTTCCAAACATATTGACACAAGAAGATTGCAAGTGATAAGACTAGAACGTCTTCTCTTCTCAACGAATAACTTTAGACTAATATATAACTACGAAATTGTGCGATCTTTTTTTTAAATTTGTAAGTTTCACATTAATGTAACATATGAATATCATGTTCACCGTGAAAAATCTTAACAGTGTTTGTATGAAAACGCATTATGATGTATGTGTAATTATTTCATTCTAATGTGTTGTCAAGTTCAATTAGACTTTTTTTTAATTCGATACACTTGTTATAACAATGTCTGAGACTGCACTCTTAAATTGAGACTCTTAAAATGTTGAAATTTTTAGCGCGTTTGTACACAGGGTACTAGAATTTCCATGCAAAAAATTTGTAGACATGTTTCATTCTCTCTTATTATATCATCGCAATTCTGACTTTATGTAAGTAGTTAACCATTTCAACAATGTGTTACAAGAAAAAATATGCCAAAACAAAAAATGTTTAAAAACTACTTTTATTCTTGATATTTATTTTTACAAATGAATGTCCGAGAATGAAAGCGAGACTTCTATGCACAGCTTATTGAAATGTAACACCGCCATACAAAAAGTGCTGACAGTCAGAATATTTTGTATGGTGGTGTTACATTTCAATAAGTTGTGAATAGAAATCTCGCTTTCATTCTCGGGCAATCAAATTAAACTATTGCAAAAAGTTGTTATTTGTGAAAATAATATAAGCAGATAATGTCATCAGTTTATTGCTAGCCTCATTTCAAAAGTAAATTCGTGTTGATATCAATTCTGGTAAATTTACGATTCGACGTAAAATCGATCAATTTTATAGGTCGATCAGATTTAATTTCGCTGAAACTTTGCATATAGATTTGATTCAATGCGAAATATTTATTTTAAATATTTTTTGTACTTTTTATAAATTATTGCTACATTCTTTCGATTTTGAACACATTTTTTCCCCGAAAATTTTGAAAGTAAGTTTTTTGAATAGTTTTAAGAAGCAATAAGAATGTCAATAACGTGTTTGTTTGATGTCTGTCTCTCATCAAGTTCATTTCATCTCAAGTTTATTTTTAAACGCCTCAATGTATGCTATAAATTATATTGGCGTTATTTTTCAAGATTTTAAATTTTTATCATGAATAGTTTGCAATACTGCTATAATACAATATAAAATATGATTCAAATTTTGATTTACATTAATTGCGTATTACGTTTGAAATTTAACCGATTTAAAATAATAAACAACATTGTTGCCACAACATCATAAAAAATATAAAAAATATATATGAAATCAAGTTCTTCTCAAGTTTATTATGAAATAAACGCCATTCCATCCAGAAATCACCTTTAACGTTAGCAGAGTTGTCAATATTAGATTTCAAATTAAATCAAATGATTTATCTGATCTGAATTGTTCTTCTCAAATATTTTGTTGATTTGGACCAACTAAAAGATATGTGTTTGATTTCATTTAAGTTTTTTCAAATCAAATCACAAAGAATCAAATCATTCATTTGGTTTGAATTCATGATGTTCTGAATGATTTTTCGATTTGTCGAATCATTTGATCCCAAATATGAAAACCCTGAACATTAGACGTTTGCTGTATATATTTAAAAATATGTCATAGAAACCGGTAAATTATCCAGAATCAAAGAATTATAAACGTATACCTAAACGTCAAGCTTATTTTTTGTTATTTAGTAGCTGTGTATGAGCTGGAGTATATCGTTTTGTTCACCTTTGTCTCTCTTTCCTCAGTCCATTCCTTTTGTTTTTTTTTTTTAATAAAATTTAATTACCTTTAATTGTTGTCGACGTGACAAGTGTTTTTATCATAAACGCTTTTGTGAAATTTGCGATGATTATTAATTTTCACGCATTGTGTTTTATAGGTGATAATGACCTTGATTATCTTATCAGAATTAAGTGACTCGCGACGAAATGAAAAAAAGTGAATTTCATTTATAGAATATTTTCAGTTAAAAAACGACCGACTTCATAACATGTTAGCGAATGAATTCTAGAAATTAATTGTGATCGGAGAAAGTGAAAAACATCTGTGATAAAAACGAATTTAGATAGTTTTAAAATATAAAAAGAATTTGCTATTTGTGTTAAATAAAAGTGGTATAAATAACGACGATGAAGTTACCATTTGGAATAGGTAGATGGTAGAGATTAATGCTTAAATATATTGAAATGATTTTATTGATATATCTCCAATACAGTGTCAATCCAACAGCGTTATGTTGTCGTTGCTATGATGTTTTTTACACTGGCTGTGGTATTTTCACTACGAGTAAGCTTTCCAATAGTCTTGACTCAAATGGTCTATGTGCCGAATGTCAATCCAGATGAAAGTCATTTAACCAACAACGTGATTATTTGTCCTGTTCAAAATGACACTGAAAGTGTTGGCAAACCAGAAACGGTCGTGTCATTATTGGTGAATATATTGAATACAGTAATGTGCGATGAGGGGGGAGGTGATTTCAAAAATGAAGAGCACAAAAGCCTATTTTTCATTTAAAATGTTGAAATTGTCATTTTTATCTAGTGTAAAATGGGAAATTTCAGGGAGGCATAACAATTCTCTATCCTCACCCACCGCAAATTAATGTTATATATATATATATATATATATTTTCAAACAATCAAACTCATAAAATAATCAAAATCGTGTTCGATAGATTAACAATACCGATCGTTATCAATGGTCGCAAAAGCTGCAAGGAGTAGTACTGTCATCGTTTTATTACGGTAATATCTTTTCTGAAATTCCTGCTTCAATACTTGTTCAACGTTACGGTGCAAAAATTTTGCTATTAACCTCACTCGCATTATCTGCACTCGTAACTATATTGACTCCGATGGCTGTTGAATATGGTTTGTCTCAACAAAAAAAAAAATCAAAATGAATTTGACATGAAATTTGATACATTTAACTATTTAGGTGAAGCTTATGGATTAATTGCGACACGTGTTTTACTTGGCTTTGTTCAGGGGCCAATTTTTCCATGCCTTGCCGCATTTGTTGTGCCTTGGTATCCTGTTGAAGAACGCGGTCGACTCTGCAGCTTTGGATATATTGGTATATCGGTACGTTATTCGTTTTTAAAAAAGACAACATTTTAAACTGCGAATTTTTTTTAGGCTGGTGCAGCGTTGGCTAGTTTTGCATCTGGCTTACTGTTACATAACTTTGGTAGATGGGATATTACTTTTTACTTTTTCACTGTAATCCTGGTTCTTCTGTGGATTTCATTTGTGAGTATTTTTATGAATGCAACCATTTTCATTAAACATTGGCTTGAATAAATCGGAAATTTATTATTAGGCATTTTTATGCTATGAAAAACCACAAGATCATCCGTTCATAAGTGATGAGGAAAAAGAATATTTGCAACAAAAAATCGAGCACTACGAAAATGAACGAAGAAATCTATCGTCAACGCCGTGGATAGCAATTATTAAATGTTCACCAGTTTGGGCACTTATATTATCAACCGTAACTAAACATTCATTTGCTTGTAATGTGAAGTGTGAGTGTGAGAAATGGATTTGTTTATAGGCATTATACAGCTGGTCATTCTCTATCATAAACACTGACCTACCGAAATATTTGAATGATGTACTTCATGTCTCGATCGATAAAAATGGAATTTACTCATCGGTGCCGAAAATTTTGAGTATCATTGTATCAACCGGTTCGGGCATTGTGAGTGATTTATTGCTATCAAAATATCATATCGACCGAACTCTCGTTCGTAAAATATTCGTCGTATTGAGTAAGTGTTGATAGCGACATTGTGAGTTCATTTTGAGTTTAATTTAAATGGATTTTTGAACATACATAGCTTCGATAATACCTGCTACGTTTTTAATGTCTGCCTCGTATGCCGGCTGTAATGAACTGCTCGCAGTGATTTTCTTCACAATTTCGATTTCAGCTCATGGATTCAATTCAGGTTAATTCGGTTTTTTGGGACCAACATTTTGGAAAATCATCTAAACATTTTCACGAAAAATTTCAGTCGGTGCCGCCATCAATCTTTACGACTTGGCTCCAAATTATGTAGCACCTTTGAATGCTGTTATAAATAGTTTAGCCACTTTTGTTGGTTTACTCACGCCCTTTATCGCTGGCGTCCTTACACCAAATGTAATCAAAAGTATTTCGATTTTTTTTTAATTTGATATTTAATGTTTTTTTCTTTAATCCAAAGGCGTTGTTGTCTGAGTGGCGAACGGTATTTTGGATAACTTTTTCACTTCATCTGATGGAATCCGTTATTTTTACAATATTTGGCAGTGCTGTTACACAAAAATGGAATTCGTCTTGAAATTAAGATAATTTGGTAGTTCCCTTTTTATATGGTTTTTGGATGTTATCGCGAAAATAAATCAATAGAATATATTTTTGTTTGTTTCATTTCATCTGATATACTTATCTTGGGTTGGTACATTTATTTTATCACTCTTTTTACAATTGAACGCTCTAGAAAAAAACGCCGTGTTCCGCTTTGATATGATCCGTTATAATCACATATTTCAGACATGTTGGGTGGTATTTGGCCAGTACTGATGAAAATCTTGTTTCAGACAGTCTTAAATTTTTATTATTATTATTCATTGAAGGTTAACGTAAAATTAAAACTCAAAATGTTGAATAATTTGTATAAACCTGTTTCACAGGATCCATTTTCTAGACGTACGATTCAAATCGTCTGCCTATAAAATATATATAATATATTTTTGATTAGTCTTTATAGACAACAATCTTATCTTGCTTCGAAGTCGTAAATTTCAACATCGACATCTACACCATACATGGACGCGGTAAAAATTTAATGGGGGAAAGTCCATGCGCCAATCAAAAACCCTGGCAAATCGAAGAAAAACTCGACTGTCGCCTAAGGGGTCGACACCATCTAGCACGTCAGTAGGGATTTCATTGCTGTGCGGACGATTTAAGGGGGAGTGTTATCCGGGCTCACACTCCCCCATGTTCCCATGTATAATCTACACCAGTAATGTGCGAGCAACATTTTCCAGGGGGGTGGTTTGATTTCAAAATGTTCTTCAAAAAACCCTAGGAAATCTAGAAAGATTTCGATTCGGACGAAAATCCCTAGCAAATAGGAAGAATTTTGAAATCACAGGGGGGTAAACCGCTCCCTCTCCCCCTCCCCTTCGCACATTACTGATTTACACAATAATAACAGAGAAATAGACTTCAATGGAATCAATACATTGCTAATTTTGTTTGTGTGATAAGCGTATTTCTCCTTTGACATTTGCTGAGTGAACATCGTTTCCAGAATATCTCTTACAAAATGAGTAAAAACATATATTTTTGAATTTAATTTCCAAAGAATATTAATTTAAAATCATTTTTTTAGTTAAACAGCGATATGTAGCGGCATTTATGATGCTTCTCTGTCTCGGTGTGACGTTTGCGCTTCGTATTAGCTTTTCATTGGTATTGACACAAATGGTTTACATCCCAAATGCCAGTCCAAAAAATAAAACAGCTATTTTAAATGATGTAATCGTCTGTCCAACTAATCACCGATCGTCGACACCAAATGAGACAATAAATTCGGTTCGTATTGTTCACATTATTTGGTGATAAGAAAATTTTAAATAAAAAATAAGAATTCATTATCATAGTTCAGGTCAGTTGATGATAGCATCAATAATCGTTTTCAATGGTCGCAAGAATTACAAGGTTTAATTTTGTCATCGTTCTATTGGGGTTATTTATTATCGGAAATTCCTGGTGGTATTCTTGTTCAAAAATACGGAGCAAAGTTGGTATTGTTAGTCACAACTGTTCTATCTGCTTTGGCTGTTGCTCTAACACCGATCGCCGTAACTTATGGTGAGCGAGTAGTCGAATGTAATTTTTTAAACAATAAAGTAACATTTTTCATACATTCACTAGGGGAAGCTTATGGATTAATGGCAACACGTGCTTTAGTTGGATTTTTTCAAGGACCATTACATCCGTCTTTATCTTCGTTTGGCATTGCCTGGTATCCAACTGAACAACGAGGTCGATACTGTTCCATCGTTTCCATTGGAATTCCCGTAATTTTCATCCTCTGCGTAGAATTAGATCTGCATTGAACTAATTACGGTTCAAAACATTTTAGGCGGGTAGTTTCATTTCATCATATCTCGCTGGAATCGTAATATATCAAACTGGAAGATGGGACATCGTATTTTATTTTCTTGCTATTGTTACTGTTGTGTGGTGTCTTCTTTTTGTAAGTATTTTTTTATTTGAAAACTCAACATAACTTATTATGCGATAAATGAAAACGCTCCAGTGCTTATTTCGAAGATCATTTCTGGATTCGCACTTTTATTCTCATGAACAAACAATAAACAATATGTTAAATGTTAAATTGTATCTCCTCAGGCTTTTCTATGCTACGAACCACAAAATCATCCGTTCATAAGTGCTAAAGAAAAGCAATTTTTAAAAGAGCAATCTATTGGCGGCTTGGAAGCGGATAGAAAAAATATTCCCCCTACGCCGTGGAGAGGGATCATTAAAAGTGCACCGGTTATAGCTTTGCTTATAAGTTCGGTAAATTCGCAATTCGAAACTAAATTCTATTGCGCTAATTTAACATTTTCCAACATTGAATTGTAGGGATTATACAGTTGGGCATTTTATGTTGTAAACACTGATTTACCAAAGTACCTAAATGATGTGTTGCATATTCCGATTGAAAAGAATGCTGTTTATTCATCTATACCACGAATAGCCAATATTGGTGTGTCTGTTTTAACGGGTTTCATTAGTGATTGGATGCACGAGAAACGAGGCGTTGATGTTACAACTGTTCGAAAAATATTTGCCGCTCTGTGTAATTCATTTCTTTTTAAAGCGTATATTTTTGATTTTACAACTTTCGCAACATTTTCAGCATCGATAATACCATCGATTTTTGCGATAAGTGCCTCTTATGCCGGATGTGATGAAGTACTGGTTGTGACTTTATTAACCATATCTATAGCTGCACAGGGCTTCAATTCTGCTGGTAATTTTCGAAATGATAAACATTTGTATTTTTTTAAATAATAATCCATCAAATGAACCGGCCAGATTATTCGTGACCTCAACAAATTTGTCAAAATAAAACTGCAACGTGCCCATACATTTTTTATATGAACATGTTCCTCTTTTACTTTAACAAATTTCCTGAGCTCACGAATTTTCCAACCGATTCAATTTATAGGTACAATTTTGAATTTGTTTGATTTGGCACCAAATTACATTGGTCCATTGAACGGGATCGTCAATACTGTATCAACAATTGCTGCTCTTCTGGCTCCTTACATGGTTGGCATATTAACACCTCATGTAAGTCTCACGTTTACTTTTTTTGCCGTCTTATCTCTATTTTACGCTTAATTATACTGTATTATCTCAAACAGGCATATTTATCTGAGTGGCGTCTTGTATTCTGGATAACGTTTATATTACACATTTCAAAAACATTTATATTCACAATTTGGGGCTCAGCCAAAGTTCAAGCATGGAACGAACCGAAAAAAATTGTCGACTAAATTCATTCTCATATAAATTGTTTTCGTCTTGTTCTCGCCATTAATATTCAATTAAATGGGTAAAAGCACACCGTATCGACCCAGACACACTAAAAATTAAATGCAATAAAAGTGGTTCAAATGCAAAATTATGTAATTGTTTTATTTACATGTCGATAATGATATGATGTCTAATCGTAAAATGTTAACAATCGGCTTGTGCAATTGGTTGAAACTTTCAACTTGAAAGTGAGCCGAAGCAAGAAATAATGGAAAATCAATGATGCGAAACGTTAACAATTCATTAGATAATATAAATCAGTTTAAAAATGAAACTCAGCCACCGACCCAAATATGCGGCTCAAATTGATTTTCATTATTATTCCGCTAAAGTTGGAATGGCCTCATTATGGTAAACACTGTAAACAATAGCATAAAATTGACTTGAGGAAATCATTTGAAAAACTTGTAAAATCCTTCTTGCGCGCATACACACATACACAATTGTGGTTCCGAAGCTACTTTTTCTTTGCATTCGAATTGGCAATACGAACACTCTTCTTGCAAAAGAAAACAACAAATAAAACAGAAATCCAAGTCTATTTCCGGACAATTTTCAATTGAATTATGGTTGAATTGCATTCGAAAAACTAGTTCATGCCATTTTACCTACTGATTTCCATTTTAACGTCAAACACACACAGTGCACGCGCGTTGTTGGCATCGGTGAGAAAAGTGGCAAACGAAGCAGTGGAAACTACAATGCACCGACAGTTCACTTTTGTTTTCATTAGCCACAATTATTTGGCGGGATTTCATTTCACATGATGTTGTTGTCGGTTGCACAATGTGCAGCTGCGATTGCACTGCAGTGAGCCATTTGCCCGAAGATCAGATTAGTGTTGTCAGTTTATTCAGCGAATGGATTGACATCCGCTTTTATATTGCCTCAAGACCTGATTTTGTATGGAGAAAAATCATTGTGATGCACGGAAACAACGCTGTAACATCATAAATAAATGTTTTTCTCTTGGCTTCCTCATTGTCATCATATTTCTAATGAAGCAAATTAAAAATGTTCAATTATTGTCTTTTCAATGCTCGAAACAAATTTCATGCACGATACACACGCATGTTCCAAGAACTTCTTTAAGCAAGAGAGAAGAGAAGAAATGTAACAGTACAATGGTAATTCATCCAGCCATAACCTTGAAAATCGTTCACGAAAACGAACGCAAAAAGCAGCGACAAGAAGAGTAAAACAGAGAAGAAGTGTATTGTGTCGTAACTTGTGGCAGGTTATTGAACCTGTGTTGTCTTGTCTTCATTCGTGTACGTATCAACGCAATACATACGGAACTACGACTTATACGCAACGATTTATTGTGTGTGCTGGGCGCGGGAACGTTGTTTGCTTACGTTGATGGGTGCAAACAAAAAGTTAACAAACACACAACTTCTTCTTCTTTCTTCATCTTCATTGCCAACAGCAAACGCAACACAAGTTGAAGAATGAAATTTTTATTGATTTGACACCAATTGTTTGTTTACTTCACAAACATTTGATTGATTTTACGCGAAAAAACATGAAAATATAGCAAAAATTCAACATTCCATTGCCAAAGGCTTTCAACTGTTTGCTTTGTAAGACTTTGATCATTCTATTTTGTACGGAAAAATGCATCATAAATCACTTGAATCAGTCGATGTGGCGATTAACAAGATTTTTTTCTACTCGCTCTTTCCTCTCTCTTCGCTGTTTTTCTCTTTCTTTCTCTCTGTCGATCATCACCCAAAGGAAATGTGTTGTTCAGGTGCAATGAACAAGCTTGATAACATAACTGAATGTTTTTGCGTTTTTTTTCTCTCTCTCTCTCTTTCTTTCCTTGCCACGTTCGATACCATTGTAAAATGGAAATGAAACGTGCAATTAATAGAAAAAGGAAAAAGAAATGTAGTCTTCTGATTATGCGTGATCACATGACTGAACGAAAACCAATTATATTCGATGCATAGACGCAATACTCGGTCTGGAAACAAGCAAACACACACAGCCATGATTCGAAATGAAAATAGTTATTGTTTTATTTTGTGCTGCGAAATACTATAAAAAAGTAAGTGCACGAGAGCTCAAATGGTTGTGCTTTTTTTATTACATTGTGATTTGTTTGTTCATTATTTATGGATGTTAGCGTTATTGGCTTTAATGCGTTATAAAGTCTGCTATTTCGTTCAGCAGTAGCGTTGAGGTTAACTACCTAATGCAAGAAAAACAAATTATAAATGGATTTGATTTTAGAAAAAAAAACAATCGTCAGAGAGAGAGAAAGAGAATAAAAAAGTCAAACTGAACATAAAACAAATCATAAGGCACTGAGATGTGCGCATGAAAATGGAAATTGGTTTTAGTTGAACATTTGAATGGTTGTGATTGTATATCGTATGCAAATAAAATGTGTCAATAAAATGAATGCAAAAGTGAATTTTTGCGACGCAATCACAGCATGCTAAGACCAATAACCGAACACAATCGAATGTAACAAAATGTGATATGGAAATCGAGACGGAAAACTTGCATTTGCAAACAAACACAAAACGACTCGTTTGTTGCAATGTTTTTTTTTGTCGTTGTGTTTTCTTTTTTTTATGTTTGCTTTCATGTTTCGTACGATGCGGTGCCGAAAGCATTAGCGATTAGGTAATCGGTAAAATCAAAAAAAAACTATATATTGCTTAATTCCGTCACATGCACCAGCACCCATTCGCAATAAAACAGCTACAGCAGCAGCATAATGACAACATAATGAATAAAGATAGCGTTAAAAATGAAGTTCTGCATTTTATTCACAACTGGAATTTTGTTTTTCGTTTCATTTCTTTCATTTTTATCGTTAACGGTGCAATCAATATCAAATCAATTGTGTGCTACACAAAAAAAATTTCTAAGCGAGTTGCTCGCACAACACTACATTAAGATAGACTCAAAGAAATTCGGATATTCGACGCTATTGTGTAAGTGCTGTCTGTTGGTGTGTTGTTATTGTGGTAGATGTACGGTGTGTTGTTTTGGTTTCGATTCTTCCTCTTTTTTATAGCATAACTTTGTGTCTTGGTCTTTGTATGTGAATCGGTGTGCGTGCTGCTTTTTTTCGTGTGTTGTTTAGTCAATTTAAATAGACAGGTTGAAAAGAGAGAAAAACACGTGCGTTCGCTTGCAAGATGGACGAAACGGTTGGCTCGTTGTTTGTTCCTCTTTCGGTCGTTTTTTTTTTCTTCTTAATTCGAATATAATTTTTTTCATTGTGCTCAGTTACTTGGGAACCGTGCTTGAGTGGGAATCATTTATTTGAGCTCTGTGCTGGCAGCTTGTAATCAGTTGTTCGTTGATTTTGGATCGTACAGTTTGTATTTGGCCATCACAATTTTCTGTTCGATATTTCAATTTTAACCAATTAGTTATTATCTGTTGTGCGTTTTGCGAATAAAGTGCAAAGAATTCACGCGATGCTCAAATACGTGGTGAATATTTGTTTAATCATATTTTTTTGCGTCCATTTAATCAATGCGGATGCAGAAAAACAGAGTCGACGCACCAAACGACTCGGACCTGGCGGTCGTAATGTTTCAAATAAATTTAAAAAAGGCGAGTTTTTTTTTGTGTGTTTTATTTATGTGGTTTTCTGGTGATTTTACATGTAAAATTGAATGCAGTCAAGTGCTTATTGTGAAATTAATTTTCGCTCTGTTAATAAAAAGCAAATCTAATTGTTTTTTTCTTCTTCTTTTGCATTCGGATATTTTTTTAGAAGTATGGAAACAAGATATTGGCGATCAATTCCAAATAGAACCGTCAACACAGGGCATTCAAAATGTGCATTTAAAATGTGGTTCGAATTCAATGTTTGTAAAATTAGAAACAGATGCCGATTTCATGGGGGTCATGTACACCAAAGGCAATTTCTATGATCAAACCAGTTCACCATGTTTTGTGCAATCGAAAAAAGGACGTGGTGCACGAAATCTTTCGATGCGATTTACATTCGAACAGTGCAACACAAAATATGACGGAGATGTATACACCAATACGATTATTGTACAAAATGATCCGGAATTAGTAACGCCCGGTGATGCGGCGTTTGCATTGCAGTGCGATTTCCGCAAACCAAGAGGATTAAACGTTGAAGCCAACTATGAAACGAACAGTGACAGGTAAAAATTGAACATTTTTTTTATTTATTTGCATAGACATGTCTCTTGATCTCTTTATTAAGTATGTGCTCCTCGATGTCTGTCCTCTTTTTGGCTGATTCATCGAATGAAAACATGTTGCGCCTCTCATTCTATCGCTTTATTTTCACTCTTTCACAATTTGTAAACCAACAAAAAAAAAAAAGAAAAAAATATTCAAAATTTTCGTCAATATTTCCCATGGAATAGAGCGGCGTCAGGAGCACGAATTATATTAACAAGCCCAGATCCCTCGAGTAATAATGCACTACCAGATACAGAACACGAAAACACAATATTTAGCGAAACCGATACAGATACAGTTACATTTAATGCACATGACAAAGAAACGGCGGCAGCATCCAATGGTGATAATGATTCATCGACCGAAAGCGATGAGTCAGCATCGACTGTACAGTCACAATCTGATCGGCAGAAAGTTAAAATCACCATCGATTCAGTGCCACCGTATGAAGAAATTCAATCGACAAACACGAATAACGATAAAGATAACATTGAGTCGGTTAATCACGTCGATATTGAAGAAAGTGAAAGAGATTCGATTGAACACACAAACGATAAAGCGTTCGAAGAAAAACGTGTGAAAAATGATGAACTCTGAATCAAACACAGAAAATATTGCTGTTTATTACACTTATTCTCTCAATTTAAAGAAACAAAAAACAATTTTAATAGGCAATATGTGAAATTATCCAAAATGAATGCATTTATTTTTAAGACTAAATTATTCTTTTCTTTTTCTTCTTGTGTTTTTTTTTTTCTCTTTTCTTCTTCTTTTATTCGAATTCTCAGGCGACCGTCCGATGGTCTAGGCGGACCACAGGCTTACGATGATATAATTTATTAAGCGTTTTATTTTGATTATTATGTGTAAAATGTAAATGAGCAAAAATATCAAATAAAAAAGATCATTAATTAAGAGAACTAATTTATAGAACGAAATTTTCGTGTAAGAAATAATGTTACTGTATAAAAAAAAGTAAGCGAACAAAAATCATTTTAGAAATGTACCAATTGTAATGAAAATGAAACCTGTTGAATAAAAAAGCGATAAATATTTCAAAGAAAGAAAAAAAAAAGAAAAGTGTGAATTTATATTTTTTCCACTGTGGACGTGTTCATTGGCGATTTATCTATTTTTTTGATGCTGAACTGCATGTAATTGAATTTATAACAATTGTCTGTATATACTGTGTTTCTTTGGTTAGTTAGTAGACATTTTATGTTTGCTTTGCTAAACGCTTCGATAGAGTTGGCATAGTAAGAGAAAGTGGACGAGAATTGATTTGATTGTTTATGAAATATGAGCGAGAATTAAGGTGCTGAGAGAGAGAGAGTGAGAGCAGAAAAAAATATATGTCTTTTTCTTAAAATTAGAGCATCATATCGCATTTTATTTTCTTTACTGTATCTACAAATTGTTTATATTGCAACAAAAAATCGAAAGATGTTAGAAAAGTCCAAATGGAAATCGATTGGAACTCCACCAGGGTCGATATGCGCTGCTGCTGCCGCCACCTAATCCCAACAAGTTAAATGGAAAACCGAGCCCATATGAATTTCGCCATGGATCCACACTTTGTGAAGGTCTATTCCATCCATAATAGCCGGGACGATAGCCGTAAGGGTTATAGGTATATTGGCCATACGGGTTATAGCCAAAGGCACCAACACGACCGCCTGCTTCATACGGTTGGGGCTGTTGTTGAATTTGTTGTGGCTGTTGATTTTGTTGTGGTTGCTGAAGTTGCTGTGGCTGCTGCTGCTGAAGTTGTTGTGGTTGCAACGGATTCAAAAGTGGTCGTTGATTATAAGCTCTAAATCCACTGTAATCCAATGGTGGATCACGTCCTCCGCCCACATCAAATTGTGTTTGTCGATTCATATCATGCATTTGATTGAAACGATTACCGCCGTGATGATCGTATGGTCGCAAATTATTTATTTCATTTGGACGATCATCGTCGAAGTCGCCATTGTTGTCGCGGTAATCATCGTCTTCATATGGAATTCCTGCACAGTAAAAAGAGAAATTTGTCACTTTAGTTACTTTTTCATCAGAAATATTGATTCACTTTAAATCATATATATTAAAATTAAGTCAAGTGTTGCTTCTCTTTTAAATTATTATTGACACACAAGCACAAATTCTAGAAATAAAATATACATATTTACTTTTATTCCGAAATCGTAGCGGCCTTTGTGCTAGACACGATGTTATAATAACAGCAATAAAAATGGTGAAAATCTGTAGAAAGCACAAAAATGAACCAACACATATAGCAAACTGATGAGAAAAAACACTAAAATCATGCAAATCTGTATCACCTTGTACATTGTTTGTTTTACAAAAAAAAACAGTCCTTTCGTGCAAATCAATTCAAATTAATTGATTTCTGTACTTTTATTAATTTTGCTTTGAAAATGTTCACTTTGATTGAAAATAAAAACGAAAATCTCTCCTCGCACCCAATGTCAAATATCGAACGAAGCAAAAAAAAACTAAACCAAAATTGTGGGAGAATGTTGATGATTCAGCTAATAGCGATTTTCATTGACTGTCCAGCATTTGAATAGTTGTGTGCTTTTTTATATGCAAACTGATCTGATTCAATTTGTGTGATGGTGTGGTGTGGATGCAATTGAAAAAGATGCGTTCATTGAGTCGCTGACTTGCATTTGACCATATAAAAATGATTGCAAACAACAGTAAATGATATCATTGGAACGTAGATCCCGGTCGAACTGCTGTGCAACTCACTTGTTTTAATTCTGACTCTTTCTGACCGCAGCACATATCATCCAAAGCGAATGTGAACGACCATAGAGTCAACGAAAACCGACTTGAGATGTGCACATAGAGAAATAAAGAGAGAAAAAAATCGAAGACACTGAACATAACATGAAATGTTGATTGTCCGGTCTTGAGCCCGCGGAGGCTACAAAACATGTTCATTTTCAACTTGGCGTATTAGTTTTTTTTTCTTCTCCTTTTCTCTTTTTTTCTGCGCTCGATTTCATGCACAAAGCCGATCAAACGGTTGTCTAATACATCTTTAATCGATTTTAATTGAGTGGGGATAATTGGAGCTAGAAGCTCTGATGGTAGTAAAGAGAAAAACCAGATCAAAATAAAGATAGAAAAAAATGTCGTTTTCAAAATTAGAGGACATTGCCACATTGAGTGAACTCACAAATTATACACTTTTTCTATCATCAAGAAATCGGTTGCATCGACAAAATTATTTGCATTTCTCAAACAATAAAAATGCAATTTCCGATTCAAAACCAACCAGAAAAGGGCCGAGTCAATGATGATAAAACAAAAATACATTCAAATGACATAATTCATTATGTAAATCTATTCGAAAGAATTGTAATGACGATCTGTTGCCACCCCGCAATTTACATCCCGAATGAGGTTAAATGATTACAAATCGCTTTGACCAAATCGATGGTATGATTGTTGTAACAACAGCAAAACAAATCTACCGTTTGTAAAATGTCAATCTCGTCCAAACAAGAAAAATTCATTTTCACTTTTGTCTTTAATCTTTGCAAGCAACAAATTGCATGTTCAGATTTGCATTTCTATTTGTAAAACATAGATCTATCCGATCGGCATCTCAGTCGATGAGATAATCCTATTGGTCGGTGCATAATTCACAAAATGAGCGTGTGAAATTGTTCATGTTGGAAAGAAGACAAGCATAAGCAAATGAGTGAAGAAAATTGCAAACCAACCGTAAAGACACCGTTTTGTGCAACGGACTTGCAGCACGCACACAACGATACGTGCATTGAAGTGTAATTCTGTTTGTAAGCAAAATGCCGTAAATACAACACTATTATTCATCATTAGCATCTAATTCGATTTGGATCACAGTAAAAGGAGTTGTATGCAATGTGTTTCGCTTGACGTGCATATACAAATCACCGTACGTTTCAACCGTATTATGAACTTGTATATTGAACTTGAACGTAAATCCGCTCGCTTTTTTTTGTATTCAAATCTTTACAGTCCAATCAGATTTGATTGCTTTGTCATAATTATCGTACGCCGCTTTGAGCACACCACAACCAAGTGGTGTGTATGATGTAAAAAAACCGTGTTGATTTACAACAATTTATAGACAACGACTGAAACAAAAGCGACAAAGTGAAACAATATGTAATTATAATGATTGGGAAATTTATTATTATCGAGCCTCGTGCGTGCATTTGAAATGTTTGGTTGTTGCACATTAATTTGCTGCAACTGTGTTGCTGCTACTGCTGCAACGATGTTCGATGTGCGCGTCGAACGACCAACAAGCGTGGTGTTGTCGGGGCCAAAAGAAAGCGACAGTGATCTTGGCACTTTACATAGAGCGTCGCGCGTGGCCATTGAATATTCAGTGAATCTTAAATTACTCTCACTTCCACTGTGACCGCATATGTATGATCAAATCAAATGATCACTTTCCATCCAAGTTCCACATGTTTGCATCTTCCGCTTATGACTTTGATTTTAATTCATACGTTCAACACACATTTTACTAATAAAACAGAAATTGTATTGACAGCAATCGAAAAACGTGATTTGTTTCCTTAAAATATGTTGCAAAAAAAATGTAATGCATCAAATGCATTCAATCAAACGGATGATGAATCTTTCTATAATTTTGTTATCACATAAACTGGTTTTTTTACAGACTCAAGAATGTGTGCAATTTCATACCAAAACATTTCTACAACATCAAATGGTAATCATGAGCGAAAAAATAATATTTGTCCTTGCAACATTTGCCTTTTATTAATATAACTAATATAAATAGTTGTTTTTACTGTACTATCTAAACTAAAAATATTTTATAAATCTAAACAATAAATGTTCGCTTCATTTGACTTGAATGCATTTATTAATTTGGTTTTTTATCCGAAAAAACCTAATAAACTCAATGGGTTGAACGATTGAAAACCTGAAAAGAGTGGAAAACCTGAAATAAAATTAACAGGAGAAAACCGACATAAAACGGTGGAAAAAATATTTTGAAATTGTAATTAATTTTTGCAAAGTAATCTTACCTAGTCTTCGGTTAATTTTTTGTATGCGTCGACGAAGATGATGTGTCTCAGCCGTTTCCATATCAATATCATTATAATGCATGAATTGTGGCACATGATGATTTCTTACAAATGGCACTGCAATATAAAATGATTATAAATTTAGTTACAGCACTTTATCTGTTAAAAAGTGAATTTTTGATTTCACTTTCATCTTGACTTTTATAATTCTAGTAAATAAAAATGCTTTTTTTATCATATACTTACACTCTGGTTCTCTTTGTGGTGTACCTGTTCGAAATTCCACTTCAGCGACTTCTTCATCATTTGAAAACACCTCTTTTACACCAAACATGGTAACGCAAAGAAAAAGCATTAAAATAACACAGGAAGACTGAAAAATGCAAAAAAAATTACTTTGATAAAGTGTATCAAAGGTAAGTTACATATTTTTTTTTTCGTTCCACGCATTTTGCATGAACGAAACAAAAATACGGCTGAACGATATACGGTAAATGTTTTGAGCGTAACCTGCATTTTCTTTCTCTATTTTTTTTCTTTTTCTTTCGTTTATCTCCAATTTGATTCAATCACGTTAAAATATGGAAGATTTCACTTTTCAAACGGCCACTTTTATTGCCACTTGTACGTAAGACTGAATTCAAGTTTAACGTTTGTTGTAATAATAAATTGAATTATGGCTCTAATGGAATATGCTATAATATTCTCTGTTCGATGATCAAATATTGAGTGAACGATGTCCATTAGTTTGAGTTGTATTTATAAGAGCACCAATTCAATCGGATGCCATACAATGACATCAACAGATTCCGTCGATATAAACATTGAAATAATGCGAAAAAATACAATGTAAACTTTTGCATATTCTAGTCAATTAGACGCAAACTTCCGAAACGGAAGAGACCTCTAGTATTATTTGCTATTTCGGTAGCGCCCATATACCATTTCATCATAGATCATAGACATGTTGGATTCTATCTGAATTGGGCGCCGTGTGACAAGTGAAAATTGCACTATATCTTTTCAAAATTTGAAATGTATTGTAAAATGTAATTTGTAAAATTTTAAATCACATCCTTCTATTCTCGGTTAGTTCTTGATATTTTTAGTCGCCAAAATTCTTTTTTCACCATCGTTCATCTTGAAATCTCGATTCGTAGAGGTTAATGTATAAGAAAAACTACTTTTTGGCCGTCTAGAATTCACAATGGCAACACATCAATCATCACCAAAAGGAGTGTGAATATTGCCAAATATGTTCGACTCTTCTTGGCTTGCGAGCATAAAAAATTAATCTTGATTGTTATTTTGAGAAATCAATTTTCTTCTTTTTTCATGCTTGAGAAGGTCGTCACCTCAAAATGTGACAAAAATAAAAATCAAATTACATCTAGAGCAAAATATAAATCACACTGTGTTTTCGGTGAAGCTCCATCGTCAAAGCTTTTTAGTGGAGCGTGTTGGATTTTTTTTCTAGCTAAAATTTGAAATGTCGAAGATTTCGTTAAGAGACATAGATGAGTTACAAATTCAACAAAAATTAAAAACTTATTTAAAAAAATATCTACAAAGAATTATTTTTGGTATTAGTATTTTGTGTGGATTATTTATTTAAACCGTGTGGCTCAAGTGTTCAAAGTAGTTATAAAAAAACGATATTTTTTAACATTTTAACGATTTTCTTTGGAATGTGAAGCACGAAATATGAACGGAGTGAATAAATTCAATCTTGTAAGAGTTCAATGACAGATTGTGGTTTAAAATAAGATTCAATGAAATCGATTCAAATGTGGTAAAAGCAAGAGTTCCATATTTAAAACATTTTTTTTTCTTGCATTGTAAATCTAAAGCTTCACAGTTTATATTTTATATGAGATGTCAGATATGTCTATAAATAACCAATAAATCTTCAATATTTAGAACATTTTCAAATCCATTCAATTTACATACAACAATGGTTTTTCAAACAGCTGTTAAAATAAAGTGATAAGTTAGATTGTAAAATACGTAACGTTATTGCGAAGCAACGCGTGACATGTTGCTGTTGCGCCGCGGCTTATTCATCTGTGACACGGTTGTATGGGCAAAAAATGTGCATGCTCAACACAAATAATGTTTGGTAAGTGCACAACTGGAACCATTCAGGAGTGTCATAATCATTATCATCGGCACTACTGGAGCCTTGCGAATGCAGTGAATAGAATAAAAATCAAAAGATGACAACCCTCAATATGTATCTACAAACATGCATGCACGTCGAAAACGCTCAACGCATGTCGCTTGTTTTCTCTTGAGCTTATTGCAAAGCCTGCCAAAAAATAAAAAAACATCCCAAAATACGTACCATCTATGTGTATATAGAGCGTATATTCACACTGGTTGAATGTGTGTTTTGACGGTGTGTCGCATCATCATCCTATTGACGATTCGAACGAAAGCGCTGTATGGGTGGAAAACAATTTCCATCGTTGAAACAGCACAGCGCAAGCAACAGTATCACACAATAAACAGAATGGTTTGTGTGTCGTAGCAAGTTCTCCAACGTAAAAAGGAATGTGTATGGTGTTGCCTGTATTTGCCTGTATATGCCTGATTGTGTTATCGTTTTCATATTTCGACTGTTTTTCCCTGTTGTCGTACATGTTTCACTGTTCGATCGGTGAGTTTTTGAGCGTGTCAGTCAGCCAGTTGAAGCACATGAATTCAGTCTGTTGTATACAATCGCCGGTAAAGCACACATTCATCTTTTCCGCGAGCACCCAAATACCGTGAAATATACGCGCGCAAAATTGCAATATATCATCATCACACATTTCAGCTGATTTCTATCCAAAGAAACTTATTTATCTTCTTCTATTTTTTTTTTCTCTCGAAAGAAACTACAAATCGTCTCTTTCTCGGTAATTTTATGGTTTAAATTTTTTATTTGATAATTCAATCATAAAATTAATAGTTATGTGTAAGAATCCGATTTCGTTCTAAAGCGAAAATTCCTTAATTTCATTTTGTTTCGTGATTCCATCAGTATTTATTTACTTGAAGTCGTGTTGTTATTTTGTTCTTTATTTTTGATTGTTCGAAATTTGTTGTTTGAAAAGACATTGCGCAGAATGCAAGTATAGTGAAAACGTGCAGATTATAAAATACAAATAAATTTGTAAGACGATATGACCATGCCTAATGCTAATGTGGCGTGTTAAAATCAACATTTAATTTCATGCAATATAATTGAATAAATAATTATTTAGAAGAAATATAGAAAAAAAAAAAGATTAAGAGAGGAGAAAAGAAAGAATACACCCGGGAGATGACACTAACTCAAATAAATAGGTTAATTGAAATTGCATTCCTTTGTATAAAAACACACAGTGTTGCAGTGAGAGAGAAAAAAAGAAACAGAGCTATTCACAAGAAAAACATTTGAATGAATGAACAAGATAGAAAAAAAAAACAATAGGCGTATGCAAACAGCTGGGCCAGACCTCAATTGATGTGATGATGGTGATGATAATCTGAGCAGAAAAATTGAAATCGACATGAAAATTTAAATTATTACTATAATTACAGTCAGATAAAGAAATTGAAGGCGAAACGTTAGCGCATCGAAAGCAAAATAAACATAGAAAATCGGGCGAAACGTTAAACGATCTATCATTCACGGATTCAGCCAATTCAAGCATCTGTTTCGTCTTCAAAGTATTTCTTCTTCTTTTTTTTTAGTGTGTTTTAATTGCATAATTAAATGCTCACCGAAAAAGAACAAACACTACAATCGTAACTGCACATCTTTATTAGAGGCTTTCGGTTCAACTTCTTCTTCTGTTTTATAAAATTTCTGTTACTGTGCGAGATCGTGCGAACGATTAGGAAAATTACTTTGCGCAAAATTTACACACGATAAAAACAAAAAGCACATCCAAATTATTATTGATTAAATACATGAAGTGAGTAAAAATTAACAGTGGTAGCTGGGCCATTTGACATTGTACTTGAAAATAGATTACCGTATATTTAAACGAAATAAAAAACATTCACCGCATATAGCGCAAAAAAAAGAGTACGCGCAACCAAAACGATAAACCACGTGTCGAAAATTACGTGTAATTTATTATTGTAAAAAAAGAGCGACAGAGAAAAAGAAAAAAAACGAATAATTTTGCATACAGAATAACCGAAGAGAAAAAAAAACAATAAATAAAAATAAACAGAACATTTTTATCGGGTGCTGTATACTTGAGATATTCATGCTTGTCAAGTGTGTGTGTACTTTGACGAATATCAAACATTTTGCGAGAAATAGTGTGACCGCGTTGACATCTGTGTGTATTAGTGGATTTCTTCGTCTCGTGCACGTATTTTGAGAAAAAGCACGCAGTGAACTTCGATACAAAACAAAACAAAACAAAAGTTACGCGAGAAGCGCATCGTTCACACCAAATTGTACAACTGTATTTACATCGTTTGCAAAGTGCGCGATAATGTATTACATCAGTTTTGAAATATATAGGCATAGGTTTGTACATTCATTTCAATTCTCTGACTCTGGCCTCATGTGTGTTGTTGTTTCTTTTCTTTTTGTATATCTAAGTTCTTCATTTTCTCTGTTTTAGAATGATTTCATATTTTTTCCTCTCATCAATTGTGTAATGCAAGAGAGACATGGCGATATTTTTTTACTTGTGAAACATTGCTCGGATCATATTTCAGTTGATTCAGACCGTAAAATATACATCATTATCAAAAGTATTATATTTTTTCTCTACTACTACTTCTGTCAATTCTTTATGTTTTTTCCTCTCTCTCTCTCTCTCTCTCTCTCTCTCTTTCTATCTTTTTCTCGATTTTTTTCGTTCTGTCAACTTTTGTGCTTGGCTGTTGTTTTGCAAATTATAGGCATTTTGCATACGCTGCTCTCTTCAATGTTGTTCGACAAAGATACGAATCTGGTTTTCTTTATGTTTGTTTTATTCGAAGAGTAAATTATTTATTACGAATTGTACAACTTGAAATATGAAATATCATTAGCGATGTCAGCGAGAAGTGCCGTCGAGTGGTGTTCAATATGTGTGTTTTTACAAAAGTATGTCTGCTATTCTACTAACACTGCCGACAATATGTGTCTTTGATGGTGTCAATTTTTCTAAAGATATTTATCGACGTAATTTCTTTCTCTCTCTCTCTCTCTCACTCGCATATTCGACGATTTTCATTGAAAAGATGTGTTCGACTGAGTGTAGTGTCCTGTAATTTGTAAATGGTATGAATGTCAAAGCTAAGTTTTCTGATATGAAAACAGTTTTTTTTCTACACAATATACGTCATTTTATGACTATGTCTTTTTTCTACGCTTCAATATATTCCAAAAATGTATTATTCAAGTCTAGTTTTTCGATTGTTGTGCCATAATTTAAAGTTTATTTAAAGTGAAAGAGTGTGAATTGAAACTTTTACGAATAGAATCATTTTCATTTCATTTCAAAGAAGATACGGAAATAGACAATTAAACTTTTCCCAGTGGAAATGAAAAATTTAAAACCCAAACTCAGCCAAATGCGGTGAATATTGTTGTAAGAAAATGTGATAATTTTATTGATGAAAACTTTACTGGTTTTATCCTTTACTCCTTATGGTACTGTTCAAGATGAAAATGGTTTTCGTTGAAAATTCGCAACAGATATTTTATTCATCAGCAAAAGCCGTTAAAACATTGTTCTATACAACTTGATTGTTTTCATCTTTATGGGCTTCAACTTGTATCAAAAGCCAATCCAACGATTGCTGAATCCTACGAAAAATTACACCGAATTTTATAGAGACAAATTTCAACATCAGACATTAACAAACTTCTACTCGTCTTCTTCTTCTCCGTATTTTGTTTAAATTGTATCTGCGAGAATGAGTCATATACTCGGATGAGAATAAACATTATTTTGCGAGTGTTCTGTATGCCCAACAATGCAGTAAATTTTTGACTGCAGATTCTATTTACTTTGAAAATATTATTATTATCTTTATATACCTGTGCGTTGACGTGACAAAATGTTTCGCGTTTATGGCCAGCTTTTTACACACACACATCAAACTTCACATTCATTGAGAGTGAATAAAACTTAATACCGGATATATGAATCTGACGTGCTTTCTGACGCCTCGTTTGCAACGTCAGGCATTAAATTCAAATATTGGGATTGAATTGTTAAGATTTTCGTAGCATCACATCATTCAAACCACTAATTAATGCGACTGATTAAATATCAGTGTTTGACTTGGTTTCGATGGTGCAAAATTTTGCAATTCAATTTCTTCTTTTCACCGTCGTAAGCTTCACCAGCAGAACATATTTGGGGTTCGGCGAGAAAAAAATTCGGATATCGCGGAAAGTAGCTTTTTTTGTTCAAAGAAACAAAAAGTGTATTCAAAATGTATTCAATCTCAATTAAAAATCAAAAGGAAGTAATCGAATGAAAAATGAGCATTTTATGACGGTGTGTAATTGAAGAAAATTGACGTGAAAAATAATCCATAATATGCAGCGAAGCAGATTCACTATGTTTTCATTTTATTTCGTTTTATTTAATGTGTGCATGCGATCCTCTTTATATCTCATCTGAATTGTATGCATCACGTAAAATTTCATTTCTGTTAATGATATCGTATGTGAGTCTCAAACTTTGCGTTTGATTTTACCGTGTAAGCATGTGCGGCACATGAAAACGATTGGCTGAGACAGTGAGTTTGGAAAACACATGACTTTGCGTTAATTCATTTGGTTTCTTTTCGCAAATTATGTGTCAGTGACATGTCGATGCACTTCGTGAACGTGAAGAAACTCATACACAAAGAAAACTTTTCGAATGAATAATTGAAAGACAAAACCATAGTCAACGTGTACTGAAATCACAAGACAAACCCAACTTTTTTTTACTAATTTATCATTTCGAAGACCCCGAGTGGAAAAAAAGTGACTAAGTTACTATTGACTGTAAGTGACTACAGTTAGCTATATTCATGAATTTTAAAATTTTGTATGGAAAACAATCGACTATAGTTACTCAGTCAGTCAGGCGATTATTTTGGGACGTTTTGACTGTCGGGTGACTATGATTATTGTCAACTATAGTTAGCTGTTGCAGTTAACCATAGTTTACTTTAATTGATTGAAGTTAACTAAATTTAACTAAGGTTGCTTGTTTTTACAATCAATAGTCAGTCAGTTTGTCCCAAAATAGTCAGTCACTTTTTTTGTACGCGGGACGTTCTTACTTTCGCGCGTTGTGTACAAGACGAATTAAAAACGAAAAGAAAATTAATGTCAAACACAAACGAAAGTGATTGAATGAAACGAACAATGAAAAATTGTGATTTAGCTCATTTACTCTCTTCGGGAAAATGTAATGGCAAAAAAAGTATGCTCGAAACTTTGTTACATGTTTCATACTTCCAGATATTTTTTCAGAAAAAAATCTCAAATTGAATAATGCAAATTTTGACAATTGTTATTGACAAATACCAAACAAATTATGGGCTTCACATTCGTACGACGAAATTTCATCTTTTTTATATCTTTTATGAAGTTTCCATATTTGTGAGTTCAAATGTATTAAAAAAACTGCATTTAGCCAAAACCATCAATAATCATGAGTCAATTTTTTATAAAAGAAAACGATTGCTTCTTATTAATGCATTTCTTCACTCCAAGTTTAATGTTCACTGAAATCAACTTTTCTGTCTTTGACAAGTTATTGGAATTTTTCAACAAGGACTTAAGTAATAAAGTGCTCGCATTTTAAGTGAATGACTTAATGTTGACTAAAAAAATATTCTCAAAGCAATCATGTTTATATTCGACAAAAAAAGTCAATGAAAATATACAATATATAGTTATTTGGATTCTTTTTAAAAAATCAGTGATACAAATTGATGATTTCCTGTATTTCAAAACAATCAAAAAGTTGGTGCAAAATGAAACAAGTGAAAAAGGCACAAAATCGATTTTCAAAAGATTTTCGCGAATGCGTGGGATAACTTGATGTTGATTTACATGTAAACCACATATCCATGATCCATGATATTTTTGTTCATATACATTCAATGTATTTAGCAAACAAATCTCATCATATCCATATACCGTTACGGTATATGTTACGGAAATGTTTGTGACGTGTTTGATTCGAAAACGTTCAAATTCAATTTTTCATCGTTTATGTACATTGCGAATCAGCGAGAAAATTCAATTTGCCGAAAGTGCAAAAAAGAAAACAATTTATGTGGAATGGAACTTGTTGCTCTGTATGAATCATTTGGTGCGTTTGCTTAAACAAATGCACGGTATGTTGATTGAAAATACTTTTCATTTATCCAGTCGCATGCATCAAACAGATCAGGATACAAATAGTCTTTTAAAATAAATCAGGAAAATTGCCGAAATCCGGTTTTATTTCATGCCTTTCATTTTTCGAGATCTTATTGATAATGGAATGTTTGAAATTTGAAACATTCATGCGATGTGATTATATCAAAAAAGTTTCCGCAAGAAAACAGACATTTCATTTTTTGCAGACACGTAAACATTCGCTTTGTGAAAACGGATATTCTTCAAAAGAAACATTAAACCAAATTGGAAATATAAAAGTGATTTCATTGATGCATTCACGAAGCTTTTTTAAATTAAAATAAGATTGTGAGAAAAATTTTCAGCAACAAAGAGACTTTCCATGAAGATCGATACACTATTTATAATGCAAAGGATATTGGCATTATTAACGAATAGCATTATCTTGATGATTCTGTAATAAAGTACATTGACAGAGTTATTTGTTGTTTTTTCTCATTAAAAAAATATCATTTATGTTGCGAGTTTCAATTACATTTTCGAATTCGTGCTATCCAGATTTAAAATTCGAAATCAAAGTGTCTACCTGTATAAAATGGAACATTTTTGTTTTTCATTTTAAAACGATATCACATAAATGAAACCACAACCCGCATTCACAACCATACATAGTGTTAATTTTCGTGTCCAAAATGCATTTATAATTTAAAATCGAATAAATGTACATTCTGTGCTGAAAATGTGGGTTTATATTCTCTGGTGTATGGTTTCAATTGATTTTTGGCCAAAATTGGCAATAAAAATATGTGCGCCTGAAGCATTTTAAGTATAATCCAGGGATATAATGCAATTGACGATGGTCATAAAATTGTTCGTTATTATAAATGAAATCATAAAGCGTAAATCGTCTGCAGCACGATCGACACAATAAAAATGTGACCAATATATTCGGCATTTTTGGCTATGTCAATGCATAAAATGTGCCGTTAAAAGTGTATGAAATCGGCTCATGTATTAATGCAAAATTGAAAGTGTTTTGTGTTAATTAAATGATGGAATATTAAATAAAGCCAGATGAGAGTGCACATTTTTTTATGGAAAAATTAATGTCTCGTAGCAATAGTTTATTATATATGCATATAAAATTATTGTTTCGAATTTCTCTTTTGACTATTCAATGT